GTATTGAGGTCCGGCTGATAGGTCTGTAGTTTTCTGGATCCATTTTTCCCCCTTTTTTGAAGATGGGAACTACATCAGCTCTTTTCCAGTCCTCTGGTAGTTCCCCAGTGCTCCAGGATCTTTGAAAAATATAGTTCAGTGGTTCTGAGATCACATCTGCCAGTTCCTTGAGAACCTTGGTCTGTAATCCATCTGGTTCTGGTGATCTGAACTTGTCTGGGCTGGACAGGTGCTCACTTCCATTTTCTTGCCTATCTTAACTTGTGTTTCTAATCTGTTTTTTACGGTACTGTCTTTGATAGGTTGGACTGTTTTTTCCCTTTGTGTAAAGACAGATGCAAAAAATGAGTTAAACAGTTCTGCTTTCTCCCTGTTGCTTGTCACCTTCTTGCCACTTTCCCCCACTAATGGACCAATCATTTCCTTAACTTTTTTCTTGTTTTTCTCATGTTGAAAGAAACTTTTTTTGTTATTCTTGACTTTAGTTGCAAGCCTTAGTTCATTTTGAGCCTTAGCTTTCCTCACTTCATCTTTGCAGGCTTGGGCTATTTGCTGATATTCTGCCTTAGTTAAATGCCTCTCTTTCCCCTTTTTATAGTTGTCCTTTTTATCTTTCAATTTATCAGAGAGTTCTTTATGCAGCTATGCTGGTTTCTTTTGAGAGCTGTTATTTTTTTATTTTTGTTGGTATTGTGCTAGACTGGGCTTTTATTATCTCACTTTTCAAAATTTCCCAAGCTTCTTGAGTTGTTTTCCCCTTGAGGATTCTCATCTATGGAATCCTACCCAAGCCCTCTCTAAGTTTATTGAAATTAGCTCTCTTAAAGTCCAAGACTCTAGTTTGACTGTGTTCTATTGCTTGTGCTTCCATAATGTTGAATTGTAATATTGCATGATCACTTCCACCCAAGGTTCTTGTGGCTTCAACACCTTCTATCATTTCATCTCTGTTAGTGAGGATTAGATCCAATATGGCTAATCCCCTAGTTCCCTTCTCTACTTTTTGGGAGACAAAGTTGTCTGCTAGGTTTGTCAGGAATCTGTTTGATCTTCCACTTGGTGCAGAGTTTATCTCCCAGTTGATATCAGAGTAATTAAAGTCCCCCATTACTATTGTGATGTACTTCCTACATACCTTAATTAGCTGATTAGCAAAAAGTTCATCTATTTCCTCTGTTTGGTTGGGTGGCCTATAGTATACACCTATAGCAATGTCATCCCCCCCCTTTTATATTGACCCAAATGCATTCAAGACAGTTTTCGTCATTGTTGTGCTCTATTTCTGTAGAGATGTAGTTATTTCTTACATTTAGTGCAACTCCACCTCGTCTTTTGTTTGGTCTGTTTCTTTTAAATAAGTTAAATCCCTCTAGCTGCATGTTTCATCCCACCATGTTTCCGTAATGGCAACAATATCATATCTGCCCTCATTTACCTGAATTTCTAGTTCACCCTGTTTACTGTTCATATAGTGCTTTCCACCCAAGTAAATCCTTTGATGATCAACGCTTTCAGGCATTATACTCAACTGAAGCACATGCTGGGAGATGGGGGCAAATCACATGAGTAGTTTTATGTGGCTAAATGGGGGGAGGGTCATAACGTGGCATTGCACATTCAGGAAGCTGTTAGTTAAACTCTGTTTAAAAGCAGATGGCTATAATCTAAATTTATACTTCTGGCTCATGCTGTGGATTATTTGCTTATATAAATAGTGAAAAAACCCAATAGCAACAGGAGAATTTATTCTCACTCATGCCCATTCTAACTCTCTGCCAACTAAATGTGAAGAAATGACTTCCTGCTGCTTCAAATTAATAGTTTAAACAACTGAAGTATTTTAATCTTCCTTTTTTTAAACAGACCATTATTCTATAGCTCATTCTAATGACATTTAATGGATTCCAGAAATGGATACCAATAACCCTTCTTAAATAGAAATAGAAGACAAATTAATTTGATTATAGTAAGACTGAATGAATAGATAAGCTAGATTGCAATTATTTGTACAGTCTGCACTTCTCTAAATTTCATAATACAGGGACTTGATAAAATAGTATATGCTAGGAAAATATTACATTAATAATAACAATAATTTCTTTGTATGCTACCTACCGCTCAATACCTCAATGACTCACAACAATCAAATAATTTATAATAAAATCAATAAAACAAAAAATAAAGATAAATTAAAATGTACATATTAGGGATGTTATTAGATTCGGAAAGAATGCATTGAAAAAAGGGCCAACTTTGTATGGTTATGTGTGCTTTAACATGCACACATAAAAACATTCAGGATTTCAAATAGATAATGAAAAAGAAATAAGAAACTCTTGTAAAACTGAGACAAAGTGAAAAAGCTAACTGTAATAAAAAGCAAAATCATCCATTCCTATTATATACGTTAAAGCTTACCCTACACAGAGAGAATGGTATAGCCTAGAATTTTATTTACAAAACTGCTTTGATGATCTTAGACTATGAAAAGTAGGTTGGAAAAACATGGAGTTGAATAGTTTGATAATGGTAAATGGAAGTGTTAACAGCATGCCAGCTACAGTGTTGTAGCATTATTGTGTGGTTATGACTGATCATTATTTAAATTTACAAGTTTTCCATTGCATTCACTATTCCTATAGCTTTTGCAGGGGGGTACCAAGGAAAGTAGCCATGTAGAGGACCCTTATGATGATGAGTATGTATCATGTGGTGCTATATGTAGGTACATGTACTGGTGCCAATGTACAATTTAAATGTCACCACAGCAGGAACACTAAGGAAATAATTGTACTAAAATTATATTACTACAAAAGTGGAAACATACTAGAATAAAGAATGAAGCTGGTGAGGCAGGAACAAACAATTTCCATGCTAATGAGAACTGTTAACAATGGCCAAGTTTCCAATTTTGAAAGGCAGGAGGAAAAAGTCTAAAATTTAAACCTTGGAGCACAGACTTGGATAAGATTTTTATTTTTATATGTTGCAGTGGGCAAATACAATGACTAGATGGCTTCATCCTTGTTCCTAATAAAGAGGCTAATCTCGCTATCCTGTGTCTGTGAGCCTTTTGCCAGTAAGACAATTCCTGAATGAAGGATTAAGAACCTGGAAAGTCAAGATTTAATTGTTTCAGCATGTTGCGTGGCAACTGAGATGTTGATTGAGGAAGAGCAAATGGAAAATCACAGAGGCCGAATTTACTCTTATTGCAGCATTCTGAACAAGAGAAGTTTCTCCTGTTGTGCAGAAAATGGATATCAGCAAAGTGATAGGAATAAACCAATTGCTTTACTTATTGTGTCTGAAATATACACAAATCAAGACAACATTCTTTGGCTATGACAATAGCATCCACAGAAGGGGTGAAAACAGGTAAGACTATGGTCTAAGGCTAAGCCCTGCCTCTTTTGTGTGTACATTGATATTGCACGCACATAGAAAGGTTTTAGCCTTGCTGCTTTTACTTGTTTTGACTTCTATGAATAATACTGGCAGTTGGTTTTCTAAAACCTTGACTATTTCTTAAATGAAAGTATTGTGCAACCAATGTAATTAATGAGTTCACTTATCTCTAATCATAAAAATGAAGTACATAGAAAAATGGTCTCAAAATAAGTAAAGACAAGAAGCTTTCAGATACCCATGATCCATGTACTCGCTGAGCCTATTGACTACAAAGGATAATATCATTCACACTTTATATGGGAAAGAAACCAATTATACTGGCATATACAGGCAGTATTTTATTTGTGTAATTTAGAAATACTATTTAAATTAAATTAAATTACTCATTTAAGATTTATTCCTGTTACCCAGACTGATTCTCCAAATAGATAAAATGTCTTATCATTATCATCAATGCCATTTCCAAATATCTCATACATGAAATGTTTATTCAGGCAATAAAACTTTATATCACTGCTCCTTTTGAAAGAAACATCGAACCAGATATCAAATGACAATTTAATCTGAAACACATGACATTTTAGCTGTGGAGAAAAAAAAAAAACTATAGCAAAAAATAATAGCAAAGAAATTTCTTGCCTTCTAGTTCGTCCAAACAATTTCTTCATCATTCTATGATGCAATTTGAATTTTATACTTTGGGCCCCATATTCCAAAATGTGCACCTGTTTTCACAACTGATAGTCTGTCCCCTTGAATATTAACTTCAAAAGGCTTGTAGTCCATCTGTACTAAAATCTTTGTCAACCTCTCCTTACTGCCCTCCAATTTTCTCTGGAAAGCTTTGTGTCACTGGGCTTGCAGCAAATATGAACACACACACAAATACACACACAAAATTGTGCTGTGTCTTCTGAGATCTGCTTTCTGAAAATGCAAATGAGGCTACCATAACACAAATTTTCAGCATGCATAGCATCTGCAGCCCAACATTCATACCTTTAAAACCAAACAAAGATAGCAAACTGTTCAAGGGGGCAACAGATAGCTTTACTGAAACAAACAAAAACCAAAACATTTGGTTTTTTGTTTGTTTCAGTGAAGCTGTCAGTTGCCCCCTTGAACAGTTTGCTATCTTTTTGGATTTTGATTTTGTTGTGAATTCTCTGAAATCAAGTTGGCCCTCCTAATTTGCCCATGACACTCTGTTCTTTTTCTGCCATTTTTCCTATCTTTGTTCAAAAGCAGTATGTGCTCCATGAACAACAAAATGTGAAAGACTCTTGAGCATCTTCCATTGTGAAGGTCAGCAAACATATCACACAGAATCTTGGTAGTTCTCTTAAAGGCATTATTTTAAAAACACTGATGCATAATTGACTTTTCTAGTATGCCTATGGTCGTAGAAAGTGGAGTAGCCAGTCACTTAGAAATATACTTATTATATGTGACAATTAATAAACAATCTATAGTTTATTTCTCAGCTATTGTTATTAATAATAATTCTATGAAGAAATGCCACTTAATTTTTGTCCCCCACCTATTCTTCTGTATTTTAGAGGTGTGAGATTTTCAAGAATAAATCCTACCTTGTCACTGTCTACTGTATTCTGAGAAGTCCTGGATGCAATTGAAATTGTGTCAGGCTGACTACTCCCATCTCCTTGGCTGTCAGCATCTTCACCTCCCTCTCTACAGAGGAAAAAACAAGAAGAAATTTCTTGAATGAATTTGAGAAGTGTTCAGGCACATTGTGAAGAAGTAGTTGTTCAGCTGATCACACATGTGTTACAACTTAGTCTGTAATTTAGAATACTGATGTCATCCCTACAGTGAGGTTAGTACATAATAACCACTTTTGCTCTTTAAAACTGACTACTCCAGGTTTACATAGTGACAACAACATATCTCAAAATAGCTCCATAATGAATGTGGCAAGCCAATGACCTGTTCTGCTTGGATTTCTCACTTAACCAAACCCAGCCATCTAAATTATAGTCCAGCTGTTTTGCAAAACCGATGTCAGTTCCTCAGTTCTCACATTTTCTGTTTAAATGATGAGGCTATTAAACTTTGAAAAATATACAAAATGAGCAAACTAATTTATTCTCCTTTTAAAATATTTCTAATAATTTGAAAGAGTATGGACTATTTTCCACCTTTCATTCCAATTTCTGTTTATAGGATTCTACTATAAGGAGCTTCAATACTAGAACCCTTTTTTAAAAATAAAAAAATAGAGGATATGAATCTTATAAAGTATGTTATCAATAATCTAATCTAATCAATACAGATTATTAATACAATGACTTCTAGGTTAGCATCTACTCCTGTGCCATTGTTTTAACATCATTTTAATCCTACCAAAACAAAGTACATAATCTGGACCCAGATAGATAGATAGATAGATAGATAGATAGATAGATAGATAGATAGATAGATAGATAGATAGATAGATAGATAGATAGACAGACAGATATATAGTTAGACAGACAGCCAGACAGCCAGCCAGACAGACAGATAATAGAGAGACATACAGATCTGGCTAAACATTACCTCACTAAACATATTTTCACCAATTACATTCCCCAAGGACTGCTCAGGAAATCTAAGCTTGATCTACCAAGTGCAAGATGCTAACTCTTATAGAGAAAGTTTATCAATTCAACAGAATAAATACAATTTATATACAATCAATATACAGAAACATATTGGTGTAGTTTACATTTAGCATTAAGCTATGATCTGGTTTGGGGTTTTTTTTGTGTGTGTGGCATATCATGGAATGTGGATTTACTTATATTGTTATTCAACAAACAATGGTTTAAATCCAGACTGAATTTATAGTGCAAATCCAGACTTTCTGTGGTAAAACAGTTGTTTTATATAGAACATTTACAGGACGACTAAAATTACCTCTTACTGTTGTTTCTTTGCTTTGCAGGGGTTTTAGGGAGCTGGATTGGCTCTTTCAAAGCTCCTTTTAAATGTATAATTCTTTCTTGTATCACTTCTCGAATATTTTTAATCCATTCTTGTTTAGTTTCAATACTGGTTGCCTAAACATTTGAACAGCAAAGGCAGAAGATAGAATTAAAGTATTTCTCAAGTATGGCCCTGTATTTTGCTTCTTTTCAAAAATTGCTTTCATTCATTTACCTACATAACAGAACCTGATAAGGCAGCAAATGTTCATGTGCTAAAAGTACACTCCTAGTAAAAGAAAGGTAAAATAATCTATGTATTGTATGTGGTGTATGACACAACCCAACCTAGCCCAATCCAGTATTCACACACCCATATGTAATATGTATAATATGCTTAGAGAGGGGAAATTGTTGTTCTTGTATTGCTAGTTTCTCACACAAAGTCTCTAAAATGATGGAGCTCTGTAAAATGACCCTAACCTAAAAAAAAACCCATTAGCACTAAGAAAGCTGTTTGGTGTATGATAGTTTTTAAAGAAATCAATGATTATAAAGAACATTTCCTTCAAGTAAATTCTGCTACGAGCAGTAAAAAGTAAATAGTGTTGTTTGCTTTTACACTATGTTAAAACCGCAGATCATTTCATTCTAATCTAATGAAGCTTAAGATAATTTCCTTCCAAGATATATATGACTATCATTATAATGTTACATGTTTTAATGAGGTCTTCCCCTAGTGATAATTTTAAAAAACTACTTTTAAAAACCGCTAGGGCAAATTACATAAAAATGGGAACATCGCTCACGTATAAGAGCAATGGCAGATCTTGACCTGAATATATATATATCCATGATCATTACTAGACTTATAGCCAGTTAAACTAAATTCAAACAAAGAGAAGAGCTAGAGTAAGATAAAGAATAAAATCTGAATTCTTGATGAAGATAGCCTTGGAAGTGGGAGCAAATTAGCAGCTGAAATCTATTCCTAATATATACTGTTATATATAGACTTTTGTGCCTGATGTATAGAATGTTATGTCAACGCCGCTAATATTGAATATTCTTGCTTTGACAAAATATGCAGAACTGTCTGGTATTTTTAGAATTAATTCAGATGACAGAGAGAAGGGAGGGGAAGTAACAAAAACCAGAGAAAAGGAACGGAAGTAAATCTCTGCCCTCTGGGCTAATTGGAAGATGTGACTTGTGACTGCAAGATAAGGGAGGGGTTTAGCAAGAAAAGTTAGATGCCAGCAAGAGGAATTCAGATTCTGGCATAAACCTCCATGACATGCTGTCAATTTGTAACACTGGTAAGAAAGGCTTTAGGATAAACATGCCTGGAAGTTCTTTGAAGTGTTTCATTAGTCGGAACCATGACATGTTATTTGCAGATTGAACAAATGCATTCTATGCTTTACCCAATGAGTTTGATCTAGTGCAATGATGGCGAACCTATGGCACGGGTGCCAGAGTGGCACTCAGAGCCTTCTCTGTGGGCACGTGCGCCGTCGCCCAGTCCTAGGCCTTCAGCTGGGTTTTATAAAACCTTTTTGCTTTAGGCCTCTGCTGCTGTGTGCAAAAAAAAAAAAGGTTCAATCAATCAGTCAATTTCAACTTCTCGTGGGGGAAAAAAAGACCTTGCAAAGTTGGAATTGATTGATTGAACTTTTTAGTCCCACCCAGTCTGCTGTTACCACTGCAGCCACACCCACCCAATGGGCCACACCCACCCAATGGGCCACACCCACCTGGCACTGACAATGCATAAGTGGGTTTTGGATTGCAGTTTGGGCACTCGGTCTCTAAAAGGTTCGCCATCACTGATCTAGTATATATGTGGTAACTAAAAAAGATTCACTAATGGCACTCAAATAGCATTATGTTGTATAGACTAGAATCCCTGGGGTATAAAGCTCACATTGCTTATGAATGCATGGCATGTGTGTGTAAGCCATGTACACTGACCTCACCTTCTGTAACTACTATATATACTTGTCTCACAGTTTCATGCATTGCTACTCATACGCTGAGTAGCAAACTCTGAAATGGGTTGCTTTATAAGTTCAATTAAATAGGAAAAGGACCCAGGTTGTGATTATTGATCTGGATGTTTTTACTGAGGAAAAAAATTAAAAAGCATTCGAGATAGAGGAAAATAATTTTGGAGACTTACTTTTAACACTGTTTTGTTATCCGAAGAGGGAGTCCGTCCAGACCACAAGGCAAACTTGCATGGATCTCCTTCCACATGCTCTGTTACTCCCAGTTCTGAGGTCTGTAAGGAAAGAAGATATGGCTGAAACTGGTATTTTCATGAATTTTTGAATGATGCTCAGAGTGAGTTCACATATAATGGTGAAGTACATTTTTATACTACAAATTTAATAATAAAGACCTTTTTTAACTTTTTCATGTCTCCATTAACCACTCCTACTTTAGTAAAGTACAATAAAATGAATCGATTTAAAGTATGACATGTAGAATCAAACAGATAACTTGATTTATCTTCCACCCCCAATATAATAAAGGTTCTGAAACCCGTAAAGATCCCTGCAAACTTACCAGTAATTTGTTCTTGTAAACATATTTAGTATGTCCTGTAGAATCTTTTATTTCTTTGCTGAAAACTAGAGAGATTTCAAAGAGAAACAAATGTCTCTCACGACCCTTCCGGATGAGAGATTTAGGATCCCATACTTGGAACGAATCCTGAAGAATCAGTTCTCCCTGAACATCCAAATTTTCATCAAATCCTGTGATAAATACAAACAAAAATGAAAAAAAAAACCCAAACCTTTGTAACATTGGTTTCAAAAACCCACACTCAATCCATGACTAGATAATACTGAGCTAGATGGAGGAATGGTCCATCTCAGTATATCAGAGGACCTATTTGGAATGTGCATCCAGATGATACTCAAAGTTATGGTGAAGGAATAACAGCTCTTTAGCATTTGGATATAAATCCTCACAAAAGAATTAGAGGTCCAAAAAATATATCATGCAATGAGGGAGAATGGAAATAGCAAATTAGTGTCCAAGGAGGATTCAGGTACTCCTTAACAACTAGAGATGTGTAAAGGTACACTTGGGCATTTTTAAAAGAAGGCCCTAAGAATGCTTAATCAGTTCATGACATGAACATTCCTAATGCTTTTTGCAATTGGATGCAGGATGCTCCAACGCTAGAGGTTTTTAAGACGAGATTGGACAACCATTTGTCTGAAATGGTACAGGGGTTCCTGCCTGAGCAGGGGTTTGGACTAGAAGACCTCCAAGGTCCCGTCCAACTGTGTTATTCTGTTATTCTTCATAGTTATTCGTTATTAAATACTTCATAGTTATCAATAAGACAGACAAAAACACATCAGCCTTATATCAACAGACTGTCCTAGACATGCCCATTTTCTTCCCTGGCAGATTACTATTTACATACCTTCCAGCATGCTTACATGCATGGCATCATTGGCTTTCTTAGGGACACTGAGCATCACTTCCAAACCATCCTTGAGTTCTCCTTTTCCTTCTTCACAGCATGTTAAAAGCTCCTGGAAAAAGTGCATAAAAAAACCATCCCTGGATAAGTTTGTTTCTTTTTGATTGCAGCCAATCAAGTCATTTACAGAATGTACAGTAAGTTAGTTTCTTAATAGTTATGGCAATTGTGAGATACTTAACTGTCTTCTTATATACTTCAGGAATTGTGACAGCCAAGAGAGGGCAAGTTCTGTTATTAAAGCAACTGCAACAGTTTCACAATTAAGGGGTTATTAAGTCTGAATGCCAAGTTGTGTGAAAAGGACTATGTAAAATAAAACTGTCTGATTCAACATCCCCATTTTATAAATTGTGTAGCAGAGTGTTGTTTCAGTTTCCCTAATAACTGAGAAGATAAGGAATTAAATATTTCCATGGAAAGGGTAATTTGACATGATATACTTAAGATATTACTTAGATAACCAGGATAAATGGTCTTTTACCTAAGCCTTGCCAAGAAGGTTGGGAAGAGGGATTATTCTAATCGCCATGAAGGTTGGTATCAAGGATGTGTTACTTAAATTCTACATTACTAAAGTAAATAAAAGCTGAGAGAGTGTAAATAATGAGGCAAAAAGTCATGTTATATAACATCTAGATCAGTGACTTTTTTCCAGGGACTGGAAATAAAGGTAATTACAATAGTCAAAGAATCCTTCTAAGAATTTGAGATGATATAGCTTTATGGAAACCCCTATGGATTCCAACTGAAGCAAAGAATTATAGTTTTGTTAAGTTAAATTAACCCTCCCATCCATTGGAAACTAGAGAGAAAAAGATATATATGCAGACAGTTCTGTGCAATACCTAGCTTCCCTGCCTTGCAACCTAGGCTTGCCAATCCTGACTGAAAGACAGGTATAAGCTTTTAAGGCCTTGCCTGTTAAACTGGGCCTTAAGTTATCACCTGGGTCACTATTCTCCTCAGATCATTTAAATAAGGCAGCAACCTGCTCAAGCCTAGTAAAATGTTTTAATATCTTCCTTCTCTGTTATATCTTTGGTGCCGCCTTCCCTCCTTAGTTGTCCAATAACTGTTGAAGAGGAAATGACCTCTCTGAGCTAGACTGAACAATCCCCTAACCCAGGGGTGTCAAACTCGCCGCGTCACGTGACGTGTCGCGACGTATCGTGACTTTTTTCCCCTTGCCGGAGCTGGGGTGGGCACGGTTTCCGCATGATGCATCCAGCCTGCGGGCCAGCAGTTTGACACCCCTGCCCTAACCTTTTCTCTACATGTCTCCTTCTTACATCATTCCAACTGATCCTTCTATTCAGCTTTCATCCCCATTGGCTTATCTTCATCTTCATTAGCCAAGTCCCTTCTTCCCATTTTGGCTTCAGCATTTCTGTACTGTACTAATATTAGCCCAGGAAGCAGGATCTAACCCTTCTTCTAATTGTTTATCCTTCGTCTTAACAGGCTGAGGCAGGACATCAGCTTCCACAGAAGGAGCAGTACTCTTAGCATCAACAGGAGCAGCTGTACCCTTAAACTTTTCCATCTCTAATTGCAGGGTGTAAGCTCTGGTTCAATGTCTTCTTTCTGAGGCCAATATTCTGGACAAGGCCTGAAGGGTATGAGATGTACCAAATCTTCCCCCTGTAGAGGTAGTCCTTGACTTATGACCACAATTGAGCCCAAAATTTAGAAACTGTTCCTAAGCGAGACAGTTGTTAAGTGAGTTTGCCTCATTTTATGACCTTTCTTGCCACAGTTGTTAAGTGAACCATTGCAGTTGTTAAGTTAGTAATACAGCTGTTAAGTGAATCAGGCTTCCCCATTGACTTTGCTTGTCAGGGGGTCACAAAAGATGACCACATGACCCTAGGACACTGCAACCGTCACAAATATGAATTAGTTGCCAAGCATCCAAATTTTTGATCACATGATCACAGGGATGCGGCAACAATCATGTAAAAAAACGGCCATAAGTCACTTTTCAGTGCCATGGTAACTTTGAACGATCACTAAACAAATGGTTGTAAGTCGAGGACTATCTTGTTTATTGCTGACATCTATATTTCTGTGCCCCTTTATGGATTACTGCCTTGTCGTGGCGAAGGGGCTTGCGTAACTCAATGAAGCTATAAGCTATGCCATGCAGGGCCACCCAAGACGGACAGGTTATAGCAGAGAGTTCTGACAAAATGTGATCCACTGGAGAAGGAAATGGCAAACCACTCCAGTATCTTTGCCATGAAAACCCCATGGACAGTACTAAAAGGAAAAAAGATATGACGCTGGAAGATGAGCCCCTCAGGTCGGAAGGTGTCCAATATGCTACTGGGGAAGAGCAGAGGGCTAGTACTAGTAGCGCCAGAAAGAATGAAGCGACTGGGCCAAAGCCGAAAGGACGCTCAGCTGTGGATATATCTGGTGGTGAAAGGAAAGTCCGATGCTGTAAAGATTTTTTCTCCATAGGAACCTGGAATGTAAGATCCATGAATCAAGGCAAGCTAGACGTAGTCAAAAAAGAGATGACAAGAGTGAACATCGACATCTTAGGAATCAGCGAACTAAAATGGACAGGAATGGGTGAATTTAACTCAGATGACCATCAGGTATACTACTGTGGGCAAGAATCCCTCAGAAGAAATGGAGTAGCCTTCATAGTCAATAAAAGAATAGGAAAAGCAATACTGGGATACAATCCCCAAAATGACAGAATGATCTCAATTCGAATCCAAGGCAAACCATTCAATATCACAGTAGTCCAAATCTATGCCCCAACCACTGGTGCTGAAGAGGATGAAATTGACCGGTTCTATGAAGCCCTACAGCACCTTATAGAATTAACACCAAAAAATGATGTCCTTATCATCATGGGGGATTGGAATGCTAAGGTAGGAAGCCAAAAGATAACCGGAATAACAGGCAAGTTTGGCCTTGGAGTACAAAATGAAGCAGGGCACAGGCTAATAGAATTTTGTCAAGAGAATACGATGGTCATAACAAACACTCTTTTCCAACAACCCAAGAGACGGCTCTACACATGGACATCACCAGAAGGTCAACATAGAAATCAGATTGACTATGTGCTCTGCAGCCAAAGATGGAGAAGCTGTATACAGTCAGTAAAAACAAGACCAGGAGCTGACTGTGGCTCAGATCATGAGCTTCTCGTTGCAAAATTTAGGCTTAAATTGAAAAAAGTAGGGAAAAGCACTAGGCCACTCAGGTATGAACTAAATCATATTCCTGATGAATATACAGTAGAGGTGACAAATAGATTTAAGGAACTGGATCTGATAGACAGAGTGCCTGAAGAACTATGGATGGAAGTTCGCAACATTGTACAAGAGGTAGCAACTAAAACCATCCCAAAGAAAAAGAAATGCAAGAAAGCAAAATGGCTGTCTGAGGAAGCTTTGCAAATAGCTGAGGAAAGAAGGGAAGCGAAAGGCAAAGGAGAAAGAGAAAGATACACCCAATTGAATGCAGAATTCCAGAGAATAGCTAGAAGAGATAAGAATGCCTTCTTAAATGAACAGTGCAAAGAAATAGAAGAAAACAACAGAATAGGGAGGACCAGAGATCTCTTCAAGAAAATTGGAGATATGAAGGGAACGTTTCATGCAAAGATGGGCATGATAAAGGACCAAAATGGCAGAGACCTAACAGAGGCAGAAGAGATTAAGAAGAGATGGCAAAACTACACAGAAGAACTATACAAGAATGAGCTTAACATCCCAGATAACCACAATGAGATGGTCACTGACCTCGAACCAGACATCTTAGAATGTGAAGTGAAATGGGCCTTAGAAAATCTGAGCAACAACAAAGCTAGTGGAGGTGACAGTATTCCAGCTGAGCTATTCAAAATCTTAAAAGACGATGCAGTAAAAGTGCTACACTCAATTTGCCAGCAAATTTGGAAAACTCAACAGTGGCCACAGGATTGGAAAAGGTCAGTTTACATTCCAATTCCAAAGAAAGGCAATGCCAAAGAATGTTCAAACTATCGCACCATTGCACTCATTTCACATGCTAGTAAAGTTATGCTTAAAATCCTACAAGCTAGACTCCAGCAGTATGTGGATCGAGAACTACCAGAAGTACAGGCAGGATTTCGAAGAGGCAGAGGAACTAGAGATCAAATTGCCAACATACGCTGGATCATGGAGAAAGCTAGGGAGTTCCAGAAAAACATCTACTTCTGCTTCATTGACTATGCAAAAGCCTTTGATTGTGTGGATCACAACAAATTGTGGCAAGTTCTTAAAGAGATGGGAGTACCAGACCATCTCATTTGTCTCCTGAGAAACCTATATGCGGGTCAAGAAGCAACAGTGAGAACCGAACACGGAACCACTGATTGGTTCAAAATTGGAAAAGGAGTCCGGCAAGGCTGTATACTGTCGCCCTGCCTATTTAACTTATATGCAGAGCACATCATGAGAAAGGCAGGGCTAGATGAATCAAAAGTTGGAATTAAGATTGCCGGGAGAAATATCAACAACCTAAGATATGCAGATGATACCACTCTAATGGCAGAAAGTGAAGAGGAACTAAAGAGCCTCTTGATGCGGGTGAAGAAGGAGAGTGCAAAAGTTGGCTTGAAACTCAACATTAAGAAAACCAAAATCATGGCATCCGGCCCTCTCAATTCCTGGCAAATAGATGGGGAAGAAATGGAGGTAGTGACAGATTTTATTTTTCTGGGCTCAAAGATCACCTCAGATGGGGACTGCAGCCAAGAAATTAAAAGACGCTTGCTCCTGGGGAGGAAAGCTATGGCAAATCTAGACAGCATACTAAAAAGCAGAGACATCACCCTGCCAACAAAAGTGCGTATAGTCCAGGCCATGGTTTTCCCAGTTGCAATGTATGGCTGTGAAAGTTGGACCATAAGAAAGGCTGAGCGCAAAAGAATTGAGGCCTTTGAACTATGGTGCTGGAGAAGACTCCTGCGAGTCCCTTGGACTGCAAGGCGTTCAAACCGGTCAGTCCTAGAAGAGATCAACCCCGACTGCTCTTTAGAAGGCCAGATCCTGAAGTTGAAACTCAAGTACTTTGGCCACCTAATGAGAAGGAAGGATTCACTGGAGAAGAGCCTAATGCTGGGAAAGATTGAGGGCAATAGAAGAAGGGGACGACAGAGAATGAGATGGCTGGATGGAGTCACTGAAGCAGTAGGTGTGAATTTAAATGGACTCCAGAAGATGGTAGAAGACGGGAAGACCTGGAGGAACATTGTCCATGGGGTCGCGACGGGTCGGACACGACTTCGCAATTAACAACAACAAAATATTTCTGTGATCTAAATCTCTGGATGGTCACTGTCTATGCAGCTACATTTCTTTTTCTTTTTTTTTTAGAAATCAATTTGTATTTTATCATTTTTAGTTTCTGTTCTGTCAAAGTTACTTTTTCCTTCATCTTTTCAGCTTGTTTGTTCTTGGCTTGGCTTCTTGACCCTTTTCCCTCTCTTGAATCTTGGCTCCAGCTGAGAAAAATGGCTTGAAGACTTTTTACCTTATACCTGTCCGAGAGAAGGAAATAAACTCATTTTTCTCTCTAGTTTTCTCAGCTGCTGTCTCCTTTCTAATTGCCTCTTTCTCGGCAGGGTTACCTACCCTTTAGTTTTACTTATTTCTTTGACTCCTGGGCTTGGGCTCCATTTCTTCATGAGCTCTTGGCTGCAGAGTTCCCAAGCATCGTGTTTTCCTCTTTCTCCCTTTTCCCTACCTCCTCCCAACACTGCTGCTTGATTGGCAGCTGCGTTGTCTTGGCAATGGGGGAACGACAAGAAGAGAGTAGGAGCAAGAAGCCCAGGGGCTCATTATCTCCACAGACAGTCGATCCTTCCACATCATTGTCCCCTTTATAAATATAGGTAGTCCTCAACTTGCAACAGATCATTTAGTGCAGCGGTTCTCAACCTTTGGGTCGCGACCCCATTTGGGGTCGAACGACCATTTTACAGGGGTCGCCAAACAACGCGATCCGCCATTTTTCCCCTCAGGGGGCGGCGCTGTGCATGCGCGCCACGCATGGGGGTGCCGCCGCGCATGGGGGTGCCGCCGCGCATGGGGGCGGCACCGCGCATGCACGGCGTGTCCTTATGACCAGGGTCGCCGTATAAAAAGGTTGAGAACCACTGATTTAGTGACTATTCAAAGTTACAATGGCACTGAAAAAAGTGACTTATGACCATTTTTCACACTTATAACAGTTACAGCATCCCCTTGGTCTAGTGATCAAAATTCAGACACTCAGCAACTGACTCATATTTATGACCGTTGCAGTGTTCCGGGGTCATGTGATCCCCTTTTGTGACCTTCTGACAAGCAAAGTCAATGCGGAAGCCATTAACAACCATGTTACTATCTTAACAACTGCAATGATTCACTTAACAACTGTGGCAAGAAAGGTTGTAAAATGGAGCAAAATTTATTTAACAAATGAGGCACTTAGCAACAGAAATGCTGGGCTCCCATTGTGGTTGTTAAGTCAAGGACTACCTGCATGTGCCTGTAGTATTCTTGTACATAGGCATGTATTTGATTTCATTAAAAAAAGTCTCTGAATTGAATTGATTACTGATAAAAATAGCTTTAAAATAATTTCAAAATCAATAAAATCCCTTTCTGCATAGAGAACTTTTTATACATTCACACAGACCAGAGTATGCTATATATACATTCTTCTAGAAGAACAGGAAGAAGAAGAAAAACAACAGCACAGGATGGAAATGAAATAAAAGGAGGAAGCAATTAAATGCAGAAATTAAAGGAACAATAAAGGGAGAATAAAAATAAAGGTGGTCTAAAGAAATGATGTAACTTGACAGGCAATAAAGGAAGAGAAGTGCTCATTAGGCACTTTAATCCACAAAAAGGATTAAATCCATTAGTCCAACAGTTCTTCCCAAGCTGCAGTTCATCTTCTAAGATAACCAATCTTTATAGTTGGAATATTTGCATCCTTTTGCACATCTTGCTCATGTCTTTATATTCAATATTTCTTCTATTCCTATCAATCTAATGTGATCCTCACTATCTTGTAATTCAGGGCTAAATATATGAAAAAAGAAATCCCAATATTTCTATTGAGTCCATATGGTGTTTGCTTGAAAAGTCTGTAGCATTTTAGTAAGAATTGGGCTCCCAAATGAAGTGTACCAGCAAATGCTCCTGTAAATACATTGGAAATGCTAAGATTTGTGCTGAGGGTCCCAGACCCATATCCTTAGTTTCCTGCAAAGATTAGAAAAGATGAGGCAAAATGACAAAATATATCAGTAAATGTTCTGCCAAATAGCATTTTTACTGATTTTTAATGTAAATGATATATTACTTAAATATTATTTTGCATCACTTCTGTAACACATGCAGATTGTTGGCAAGAGGCCTTACAACTGAAGAAGCAAACAAAGAGCAAGAAAGAGAATTTGACCTTGGCAAGACAGTTGGTTATAAACAAACAATAAATCCTATGTTATGATGTCCATAGAAGTTTTTAGTGAAACAAATTACTACATCTAATCACCTTAGTATGAAGTATGTAAATACTTATGATAATAACAACAAAATCAATGACATACCTTTAATAAAAGCTGATACTTTGTAATCCTCTGGACAGGTTTGATCAGATATGAGGAAATGGAGTTGGCCAAACCATGCCTTTGTTGAATTTCCTTCAAAAAAAGTAAAAACAACACTAAATAATCCCTAAATCAAAATAAAATAGATAACCAGAATGCAACAAAAAGGTTTGCAGATTTTTTATCAATTTAAAAATCCATAAATAATTATTTTAACTGTAAACTATCTTGACTGAGGTTTTTTGGAGTTATCAATCATTCTGTAATTTTTTTGATAAAGTATGTGAAAGAGAAATTTTGTAACTTCTGCTCTCTTTCCCATGGTCATTTAGAAAGAACCATTTGATGTAAGTATGTTGATGTTCTTTAAATGCCTTAAGTTCTGAAGCATATCTTTGGTGCTCAATGTAGAAATATGTTATAGAATCTGATGCTACCCTTTTTTGAGCCAATGTCTATTGTTGTTTATGAACCAAAACTAAAGTTGAGTTAATTTAAATTAACTAGCTTAATATGATCAGTTTTGTTTCTTTCATTAATTTAAAGGAGAAATGACCCCAATTGATCTAGGTTTTTCCCCCTTACTGCTTCTTTTTCCTTCTTCTTCACTGCATTGAATATTAAGATACCCTCTAATTTCTTTATGGGAAAAAAATTCTTATCGTTTTTAGACAACGAAGCCAGGAAGCACGTAGGGCAGATACACACCAATCCTAAATTAAAAATATAGAATAGAATAGAATAGAATAGAATAGAATAGAATAGAATAGAAAGGGACCTTTGAGGTCTTCTAGTCCAGCCCGCTGCTCAAGCAGGAGAACCTATACCAGTGGTGGCGAACCTATGGCACTCATGCCAGAGGTGGCACTTGGAGCCCTCTCTGAGGGCAGACATACCGTCGCCCCAGCCCTGCCTCCTCCCATGGCCCCCTCCTCACCAGCAGCCCACCTGGAGGAGAATTGCCCCTGGGCGTGGCCCACACAAAGCAACGCAGCCAAGGACATGGTAGCCGGCAGCAGAGACAAGACTCCACCCATGCCCCATCGCATGCAGATGATGCTGCAGGGCACGGGCGGAGGGCATGGCCACCATGGCACTGCTGGGCTGCCTGGGTGATCTGTGGCGGGCCGTGGAGGTGGTGGGTGGCCCAGCGGGCAAAGCGGAGCAGGGACAGGGGTGGGGGGCAGTTTTGGGGCACTCGGTCTCTAAAAGGTTCACCATCACTGACCTATACCATCTCAGACAAGTGACTGTCTAGCCTCTTCTTAAAATTCTTCAGTGCTGGAATGCCCATGATTTCTGGAGGCAAGCTGTTTCACTGGTTAATTGTCCTCACTGTCAGCAAGTTTCTCTTTAATTCCAGGTTGCTTCTCTCTTTGTTCAATTTCCAACCATTGTTTCTTGTCCTGCCCTCTGGTGCTTTGGAGAATAATGTGACCTCTCTTCTTTGTGGCAGCCCCTCAAATACTGGAACACTGCTATCATGTCTCCCCTATTTCTTCTTTTCTTTAAATTAGCCAGACCTAAGTCCTGCTGCTGTTCTTTGTATGTTTTAGTCTCCAGGCCTTTGATCATCTTAGCTCAGGCATGTCAAACTCGCAACGTCATGTGACGTCGCGCAACGTATCGGAGCTTTTTCACGTTGCCGGCAATGGGGTGGGCATGGCTCCGGTATGATGAAACCAGCACGTGGGCCAGCAGTTTGACATCCCTGTCTTAGCTGCTCTTCTCTGATTTTTTTCCAAACTCTCAACACCTTTTTGATAGGCCTCATGATTCACCACTGTGAATTAGGTTCTATGGTCTTTTGGAGTTTCCTCTTGTCAGCTGCCACCTAAGTTTAAAACTTCTGTCATCAGTGTGGACAAGTTTAACTTGTTTTTGTGATTCAATTAACAAACTAATTCACAGGCCATCTTGCTGAGAATTGTCACATTACCATTAACAGTCCTCATCGATGAGTGAGAAAATTCTGCAAACGTGAATGCCAATAAACTGAACTTGGGTGCCTTGTAATCCCTTTAGTATTAGGCCCTCTGCTGGTTAATATATTGAACTATCCTATATATTTTGATCAAGGTAACAAAGATAATTGCAAAAACCCTATTTCTATAGAATCCTATTCAATTAAACATTAAAATACCACCCTTTTTTTCTTTTCTTCCTTTCGTTGAAATTATTGAACCAAGTATGGTTCAAAGATAAGATCTGAGTAAAGTAATGTGAAATCTCTTCTGAACTGAGCTTTTTGATGACATGGTTTTCTTGCGAATAACATTAAAAGTTGTTGGCTGCTGCCCTTTTAAAAGTTTTTTTTAAAATTCTCAATTTGGTGTATCATTTTTATGTAGGGTAGATTAATAATTATGCTAAAGAGAATAGGTATCTAGCTAAAGTGAAGATCTGTCTGGTTATTCAATGCAACGAATAAGAACATCTTGTCCATATTTGGGCTTAGAGGAGAAAAAGCAGCGGAATGTTCAATGGAACAAAGAGAAGAAAGGGAAGGGGGAAAAAAATGAAAACTACCCATATTGCTTTGGAATGCAGTTTTTATATGAAACTATCCTTTTGTAATTCTTTTTTTTTATTAAAAGTTTTAAAGATTTTATACAATATATATCCCAAACCCCTCCCACCCCTCCCCCTCTCCCCCACTTCCCAGAGCTGATTACAGGGTTACAAATAAATAATCATAATCTAACTAACATTACCCAACTATACTAACAATCAAATCCATAACATACTTTAACTCCTTTTCAAGATAAATATTAACAAATTAAAAATTAAAATAATAATATAATTAAACCATAATACTAAAACTAATATAAATTCAACCATATTAAACTATTAATAATAATCTAAAATTTACTCATAATTGTAATGTAATTGGAATTCTTGTTTGCAGCAGGGAATTGGGAGTTGGTCACCAAAACCTACTGTTTATCTAATTTAGCCTTAAATCATAATTACTAATTATTCAGTGTTATTTTTTAAAATAATCCACACTCTTAAATACTGTGATACAGACTAAAATATTCCCAAATGATTGAGATGCACTTGCATTGTAAATTTTCAATTAAATTAACACTCCAATGAATAGACATTACTGAAACTGAGACAGGCCTAGGTTGAAAAACTGCATGGAAAGTGCAAATGTATCATGGCTGGTTACTTTTTTTTTTTTTAAAAGACTTTGTTGCAAGAATGCAACAAAGAATTTAATAGCATAAGACCATCAGAATAATCATTTTCCCTAATTTTTTCTATTTCCCTAGCAATCAGCATAATTATTTTGTCTTAGACAAATGCATTTTTCCCTAGCCACTGCTATGATCTGGTAGAATCTGGTCATGCAACTATTTGCATAAATGAAGCAATATTTGTGTGACTAAAAGTGATAAGGCAATGACTTTCTTTATCTACTGGCACAAGTTCGGTTAATCAGATTTTCATTTATAGCTTTTTTTTTTTTTGCTGTGTTATGATATAAGTAACAACACAGAGACAGACACCTAAAGACCCCAAAAGAAAGTGACACTCCATTCTAAGCTATTTTGACGATGCTCAAGCATTTATAGGCAAACACTTGAAGTCTTAGCAACTTGATTGACTCTAAACTAGAATTCTCATCAGCTCTTTTGGACAATTTTCTTGAGGGATTACAAACATGGGAAACAGAACCGTTCAAAGTATTTTTTTTCACCCAGAGAGGCAAGTGTATTTATACTTCATTGATATTGCTAGTTTCATTCAATCTGAAAATCAGAGAATATTTGGCCCTGTTCTAAGACAAGCAACAACTACAGCAGCTTCAGTGTTTTCTACCTGTAATATTACACATGCTCTTAAATACATTCAGCAGAGTTCAAGATTTCTTTGTCCTAGGCAGTAATTGGGGAAAATAAATCAAATCTCAGAGCTATTCAAAACAGAAAAAAAGGAGGAGGTAAGAGAAAAGATGGGAACCAAATTGCAGCATATATCTCTTTCTAAGTAAGAGGAGTAGTAAATTGTCCTTACTTCAAAGAATGTTCCTGCATGCTCTAGGATCAATTGGCTGGAATCAGGTTTGTTTTTACAATAGGTAACATACATCTGAAACTTATCCGCCTGAAAAATTAATATTAAGAGAGAAGGAAAGTTAAGATTAGGAAATGTAGTTGGGCTATCCATTTGGCTTCCACTGGAATGATATAAATCCATCTGGATATATTTCAGATTAATTAAAAAAGTGTATTTATTTAGCTTCAGAATGCAATATGACATATTGGAATAGACATGAAGAAACGTTTTGTCATTAGCACTTTGAAAATCTTAGCAATTGTACCTACTGACACTCTTTAAAGTCTTTTTTTTTTTTTAAATCTCCCCTGGCCATGGAAATATGGCCAGTACAACTCATAGTATGAGCTAATCAGAGTTAATTAGATTATTACATGATATTTCCCTAAAGTCTCCCAATCCAAGTATTGTAGTAACATATGGCTACTGCCCACTTTCATCATTTTGCATGTACATCTATGTGATAAAGAACTAAAATATAGGGATGTAAAAGATTATAGTTCATTTCTGTGGATCACAATGAAGAACAAAATAAATGATGCCATTTAATTCCTTTCAGCAATATACTGTATTTCTCTGACAAGCTTCCTGGCTTGGAATGATTCATCTAATATTTTAACTCACTTATATACTGCATTGATCTTATGGACCCTTGGCAGCAGGAAGATATTATATGATGAGTTATACCTACCAAGGGGCAAAGTGATTTAATTGGATAAGTATGATTACTGCTTAAGGGAAAAAATTAATTCAACAAAGTAAAATGCACCCAGATTTGCTCGAAGAATACCAGGTGTCTCCTGGAAGAATTTTAAAAAGTCAGGTTAGCTGCCACAATGGCTTAATCTCATGCAGTGTACAAAGAAAATGGAAAACCTTTAATCACTAAGATACAGCTATCATCTTGATTTTTGTGACTCTACCAGTGACTGCTCATGAAGAATGTATAAGAATAAGCAGGGTTTTGGAGACAGGAAATGAATAATTCTGGCTGCTAGCATGATCTGTTATATCACAGAAAGAGTGAATATAACCTACCATTTTGGTCTCTTTAAAGGTGTACAAAACCTAAATGTATAAATGTATAAAACCTTCAAAAATAAAGAGTAATATGTTTAGACTTATTACCCAGGTGACAAAGCAGTGACCAACATCTTCAGGAAGTTGTTCGTATTTTTCCAGTTCTTTCAGAAAAATACTGGAAAGAAATGAAAACAAAGGTAGAAATTAGTCAGGGAGCCAAAATGGCAATGGGTAAGCAGCTCTGAACTTAAGCTTCCCAATTCCTTTTTCATCTTTTATTCCTTTATTGTTTTACATGAGAGGCAAATGGGCCATAACGTTATTGAACAGATTCTCTTTATGAGATCAACATTTTGGCCACAATTTTATTTAAGTATGCATTTTTTCCAGTACTGCGGAACCTGCCCCATTCCTAGTGGCAATGAGGGAGGGAACCACAGAGTCAAAGCAAATATTTATTTTTAGAAGAAGTACACAATATAAGAAATATCTGTCTCAGGGATTGTTTCTCTCCAGTTGTTTTTGTCTATCCGGTTTGGTCCAGCTGGGTTGATGCATCCTGGTTTCTGTCATCTTGTGGGACCCAGGAAGCATGTGTACTTGGATGCAATTTCAGGAGAACATTCTAACAGAATAACAAAATAACAGAGTTGGAAGAGACCTTGGAGGTCTTCTAGTCCAACTCCCTGCTCCCTAAATGGTTGTCCAATGTCTTCTTAAAAACCTCCAGTGTTGGAACATCCACAAATTCTGGAGGCAAGTTGTTCCACTGATCAATTGTTCCACTGTCAGGAAAATTCTCCTTAGTTCTAGGTTGCTTCCCTCTTTGATTAGTTTCCATTCATTGCTTCTTGTCCTGCCTTCACGTGCTTTGGAGAATAGGTTGACCCAACAGAATGACCTCCCCCACCAGAGATAACCTGCCCAGAGTTTGACAGGAGTTGGACAGTCTATAAATATAATTTAACTGAATACACACATTTTTAAAAAGGGATCATTCAGGGTTACAGATGGCCTAAAAGTAAATAGATGAAATTAAGGCAGTTTTAATGCTCGAGTAAGACTCAGTTTATTTTTGTTTTGAATTGGCTACAGCTTAAACAGAATAGGACAGGGTCCAATTATTTGGCAGCCCACTTGCCATGATACTTTACTCTCAGATCATCTGTAAGGAGATAGTCAAAGTTATGGCTCCATTAAAATGTCTGGCTTTTGAACAGCTACTTCCACATAATTGTACAAACAGAATGCTAGTTTTAGCTGCACTGGTGCTTGCAGCTATTGCCTAACATTCTTCATAAGGAATCCCCATTTTGAGAAAAGAGGTGCCCTGACTGCACTAAGCTCTATAGTAGATCTTGTCAAAATACTTACTCACCGTCAACATGGTACCCATGTCTTACTCAGTGAATCAACATAATAACAACCATCAACAGCCAAGTATTAATGTTGCTATCTTTAAAGCCAATTGTTAGTTAGATAAAATTCATTTCTAATCCTGTTAACTAGTAATTAATTTTCATTGGCAGCAATACAATTTAAGGAATAGATAGCATAGAGTAACTACCAATGGCAATGGTCAAGACATATTGGTGTTACAACTTCTTTTTCCATGTCAACTTCCAGACACATCACTTATTTGGCAGAAGATAGTTTTGCCTCCTGTACAGCCAAACAGCATACTATATGTCTTAGTGGGAAGCATAATTACACTGTCTCCATCCTGATATGATAGAACATATGTCTAAGAAATAATAGTGGCATTATCTTTTATTGTATTTTTTTATTTTCTGTGAAGTGAAATAATAACATATCTCAATATGCTTAGAAAACATACTTGTTATGAAAGTCATATATCTCCTGGATGTTTCCAAATATTATGTGTTCCTTGTTCAGAATCCCTGGCGGTATCTCCTCTACTCCACTTGTCATTTCCCAAAGATAGGTCTAGAAAACAATGTATTATTTATTTACTTTACAAATTTGTGCAGTGCTTAAGCACAGAAAAGTTTTATATATAGCCAAAACGTCGCCATTTATTTTTCTTGGTAAAAGCAGAGAATATCCAAGAAATTTTTTTCTAAGTTAAGTATGCAAACACCATGAACCAGAGGTCCCCAACCCTTAGGCTATGGCCCTTACCAATCCGTGACCTGTTCAGAAGCGGGCTGTGGAAGCGACATGCACATGTGTGCAGCTCCAGTTGCACACGTAGCGGGCGTACATGCCCACCGCTTACAAAAATGGAGCTGCATGCACACGCACTCGCCCACAGCTTCCATGGAACCATCTCCTCTCTGCCCCCCCCCCACTGGTCTGCAAAGCCGGAAAGGTTGGAGACTACTTCCATAAACTCTTTAATGCCGTGAATAATCTGAATACTCCAAAAGGAACTGCTGACCAATATTGTCACTCTCTTTTTTGTGCTAAACACAGAGAAATAGGTCTTGTAGTGATTAAAAATTGGACCAAGACCAGGGAGACTTAGTATCAAGTCTAGTTTTAGTCATGGAACCTCTCAAGGTAAGTTATTCCAAGGTACATTACAAAAACTGGTGGAAAGGGCATTACATATACTGACTTGAAATCCTCGAGGAAAAGCAGAATATAATAATAAATAATTCAAAACTCTAGTAGTGCAGAAAATGTTTCAGGTTCAAAGCACCAGCTCCAGAACGTTTATTTTGTGACCAAAACATGTGTCTAATTGTTTGGGAAGTTTTTCAAAGTGACACACTTCTGTCCCAAATTTGAAACAATCTGCTTGGGGCTTACACGCTTCCCAAACAGTCAAAAGAGCCCATTTTGCCTTAAGGAATGACTGATTTAAATTCAAGATGGGGAATTTCGAATTTGAAAGATTTTGCACATTCCACAAAATCCTTTTTCCAATTTGAATGTCGCATATTCTCTCTCCTTCACTTGCTCAGCTAGACAGTAAATATATCTACTGAACGTGTAATGTGCCAGTTTGATCACATCATTTCTATTTATATTCCCCATTATTCCACTGATGTAGAGAGTCTGTCATTAAGTATCTGTTGTGAACAAAGCTTTGTCAATCATTCACAGTAATGTTGGCTGCGTGAATATTACATATTCTTATGAGAGAGAGAAATTTTTGCCACATATAGAGAGAAAGTAAGATACCCCGGCCATTCCTTCTCTTACAGCGGAACATACTTGCCCCCTTTAAAACCAAGGGCAGAATTCAAGCTGGAACAAACTGCAGAAGTATGGGAGTTTATCACCTGTTCTAAAGCGTCTGATTCAAGCTTGAAATATCAAAAAAATGGGGGGAGGAGAAACACAAGGTTCTTGATGTTTTTGTGCTGTTCTATAAAGTTCTTTATTTCTCTATACAGATTTAAAGAATTGTATGTAGTTCCATCATTTATGCCTACTGAAAACATATCTAAAAAGTTATGTTTTTCTTCTAGAATATTATTGGGAGTTGTAGTATTTTGTATTACTAAAATCCTCTGAGCTGTCTGGAGCAGGGGTAGGCAACCCAAAACACTTAAAGAGCCACTTGGACCCGTTTCCCACCAAAAACAAAACACTGGGAGCCGCAAAACCATTTTGATATCTAAAATGAAGATAACACTGCATATATCCTTTTTTACCTTTATTTTAGGTGTGTGTGTGTTTGTGTGTGTGTGTGTGTTTGTGTGTGTGTATGTATGTGTGTGTGTGTGTATATGTATATGTATGTATATATACACACACACACACACACACACACAGGTAAAAAAAGGATATATGCAGTGTTATCTTCATTTTAGATGTCAAAAGGGTCTCTCTCTCTCTCTCCCTCTCTATCTGCCCTTGGTCTGCCACTCCTCTTCCCCCGCTCTCTTTCTTTCTCTCTCTCTCTTTCCTCTCTCTCTCTCTCTCTCTCCCCCTCTCTCTCTTTCTCCCCCCCCTCTCCTATCTGCTGCTCACCTGACAAGCTTCAGGCTGTTGTCCAATAAGATCAGGGGTAGGCACCCTCGTCTCTTTTATGACTCATGGACTTCAACTCCCAGAATTCCTGAGTCAGCCTAGCTGGGCTAGCTAGCTCTCTCCTGCCCTTCCTGCTTCCTGCAGAGACGCAGCGAAGGGAGGAGTTCCACCCAGTAAGCTTTTCAGCTCCTCGGAGAACACTGTGAGTGCACTCTCTTTTACACACACGACACACACACACACACAGAGAGAGAGAGAGAGAGAGAGAGAGAGAAGCAGGGAAGCGCAATTCCTCTCTCTGTCTCTGTCTCTCTCTGCAAAGGCAGAGGAGGCTGGGAGCCGCAGGGGAAGGCTCAAAGAGCCGCATGCGGCTCCGGAGCCACAGGTTGCCGACCTGTGGTCTGGAGCATTGCATTGTTGGTTGTTTTGTTTTGTAATGCTCTTTTAGGTTCTGTCCCATGATCAGAACAGTTCTGTGTTCGTCTACCCCCAACCTTGGACACTGGCACTTTAATACTAAAGGATACAGAGAGTTTTAAAAACATTTATCGTTTCTTGACTACTTCGATGAAAGATAAAAGTTTCTGTAGCTTGTTTCTGCTTGAAGACCACTTTTGGATTTCTTACTTAAAAAAGATTTTAAAAAAAGTTTCAGTTTTAGGATTTGCTAATTAGCTTTGTTATGATTATATAAATATTGTGTATTAGACAATTTTTAAGGTTTATGTTTATGTTTAGAATAAATAACTATTTTGCTATATAGCTTTAGATTATTTTGCATATTTTTATATATTTTTGTTTTAATTTATAGTTCAAAGTTACTTTATTATATATTTATACATTTACTAAAGAAAGTTGGAAGTTATTCTTTTTGTTTTTTTTTTCTTTCTTTCTTTTCTCTTGTCACTTCTTAACTTTCCCCCCCTCCAGTCCCTTCATTTGTTAATATTTTTTTATTAATTTGTATTTTATCCAGTGGTGGGATTCAGCTAGTCCACACTGTTTTGAAAGAACAGGTTGCTAATTTTTTGTTGACTTTGGTGAACTGGCTGATGCCCTAGCCCTTTTTTGCAAGGCTCAGAACAGACTGCCGGAAGTGCTTGGATGGCACTTTCAGAAGTTCTTTCCGAGCCAGGGAGGCCTCCCAGACCCAGAATGGCCCACCGGAAATGTGTCCACGTCACTTTCAGAAGTCCATTCTGAGTTGGTGAGGCCTCCCAGGCCCAGAACAGCCCATCAGAAGTGCGTGGATGCCACTTCTGGAAGTCCATTCTGAGCAGGAGAGGCCTCCCATGTCCAGAACGGCTCACTGGAAGTGCATGGATGCACTTCTGATGATCTGTTCTGAGCCTGGGAGCTTTCACCAGCTCAGAACGGACTTCCAGAAGTGGCATCCACGTAGAGAACCAGTTGTTCAGATATTTGAATCCCACCACTGATTTTATCTTCCTTTGAAATTTAATGAAGTTGATTTTAAAAAATAAAAAACATTTATCATTTCCTTTTTTCAATAAACTCTCATTACATTTATTTTGTAAGAAGAGTCTATCTACCAAGGTTGTAGGAAAGAGGGAGGAGGCATTATATGACCAGGAAGTTGCAATATGGATATTTCATATTTTGACATTTCAATTGCTCAGTGCAGGCTGTGATAGCCATATTCCTTTGTCGCCCAACACTATGAAAGGGTGGATGTCAAGTGAGATGCCCTTTGAAAAATAGGTGGTGACACCAAAAACTACCAATTTGCCACCTTAAAGCAGAAGGAATGAATTAGGTTTTTCTCTTTTTCCCTTAAGTTACATTTGGTCAACAATCTGTATACTACTACTTTGGAAATAAAAATCATTATTATTTTTCAAATCTTTGGTATACTGTATACAACAACTCATTACATCATATGATCTTTATATAAAACATTGTGTTCATTCTTCCAAGGGACCATACCTCTAAACATTCATGCAGGTCCCTAACGTAGGCCTTCTCTGTCTGAAGTAATTCAGCCATGATGAACCTACAAGGCGAAATGCTTTTGCATCAATATATAGAACAAGCACACTGACACAAACACAATCTTTCAATTTTGCCTGTCTCATAATTGTGTGATAACATTTCCGAGAAAGAATTATAAAGACTGCCTTAAGCCTTTTTGTAGAAAAGATAAGCTGAAGTATAATATATAAATATATGAATAAAACACAAGAGAAGATGAAGATATATCTGTTATCTGTCTGTCTAGAATGGTGGATGCTAAATATTTCTGCAATATAATTGCACTGATATTTTTTTTCTCTTACTGCGAGTTCTCAGACTTTAACAGATTACTGTTTTCTTTCAATGTTCCAAAACTCTGTTTAGAACATATTGGTGTATGAATACATTTGAATTTGTTGTGAAATATAGCTATCTTGGCATTACTATGTAATTTACATAATAATAATTAACTTTTCAGAAACTGTAAAATTTCTGTAATCCAGAAGATATATCAGTGCTGTTAATCTGACTGAAGTAATACAATTTGTGTTTTTAACTTGATAAATAGGAAAAGAAACTATTTAGTTCCCAACCAATGAATACGTAAAGAACAAAAGAAATAAAATTTCTAACACAATGTTCTGTCACACTGCATTTTGATATAAAGCTTTTTTTTGTTGCTTCCTTGCCAATAGCATCACCATTTTTTAAACCATTAAATGAATAAAAGCTATAATAAGGCATGGAACAATACTTCTACTGATCATGGGAAAATTGAAGATCATATTGAACAAGAAACAACTTCTTGGCTAGTTCCCAATGAATAATCCCTTAGAATACCGAGATTTCGTCAGTAACAAGCACGATAGCAATTGCTAAATGCTTGTAAATATTTTATTGTATCAAACACATCTGCAACAAAATATGCAAGTAACATGTCATTACCCAAAACAAAATAGATGTGCCCTTTTCTGAAATTAAACAACAACCACAAGCACCACTATAACTACAACAACAACAACAACAACAACATAATCATCATCTGGATTGGATTTATCCCAGACTTTCTGTATATGATTACATGTTGTTCTTCTTCTATCTCTGTTTTGGCCATTTGCCAGAATAACATTCAGTACAAATGTACAGAACATGATATTCTAGCTGTCTCACATCTGGCTGACATGCTGAGAGGAAGTGGTTGCTTTTTGCAAATTGATATATTTCTGAGGCACCTGATTTTCACCACTTACTCTTTTTTCCTGGCTGACTTTCTCTTTTCTTCATTGGCTTCATGACTGGCATCACGTAGCCTTACTTCACGATCAGACAGACTTGCTGGAATGATGTCCAGCTCCAGGTCTTTATTATCCTGAAAAAGTGTAGTGACACACATCTTTAATAAATTGCTATGCTTTGTGAAAAAAAATAAAGAAATGCAAAAGATGTACCCACAAAGTGAAAGAGATGAAAGGACAACAATAGCACTGGAGGAAAATATTTCACAGTACTAAAAGCCCAAATGCACTAAAATATTTATAAATTATTAGTTATAAGAATATCAGATCTGACAAGTAGCAGATGATGAAAGATTCTGAGAAGCTTTTTCCTCCCACCATGTGGGTCTTCTTAAAGACAATTAGAGTAATGAAAATAATCTTTCCTGTTTGCTGAAACACATAAGGTAGCTGATGGGAGAGTGGGATGGGGACTTTGTTTTTTTTTTCTTTTCCAAAATATTGATCCTAAGACAAGATTTTGATCCTCTCCATGGTAGATACAAGCACACCCTACCTAAATTTGTTAAAATGGGGTGCAAAGCATAGACTTGGTCCTTCTCAATTCAGTGGCCTGATCTCAGTTAAAAACACTGAATATCTCTTCTTCTTCTTTTTTTTTTTGTTTTGCCAATTTTCACAACAGCTTGCTGTCTCATATTCCTCTATCAGCTCTTTCCTCTTCTCATGCTCAGAAGCAATTTTTTTGGGGGGGGGGGAATAAATGAAGCTCTAGCAGGGCACGGGAGGCTTTAAATTAATTTTCATGGTGAAGCACAAAGATTTTTCAAACCTTTATTCAGGAGAAAAGCTCTTTTCAGTCATTCCCCCCCCCTTACAGTTTATATATTTATGGGATTATTGCTTGCTGGGTACAACAGAATGGATGAATTCCACCCATGGCAGTTTAACCATGTCATTCCCTAGGAATCAAGTCAAGCATGTTATCTGCAGCTAGAGGCTTAGACTGAAAGGGCCTTAAACAACCTTCTGAAGGTTGCAACAGTTCTCACATTTACGAGTGGACTATTACTTGGTCATCAGACAGAAATACTATCAATTGAACACCTTCCTACTATCTATTCTATCTATCTATTCTTGCAGCGGAGCTAAATGTTGTGTTCCAAAATCTACGTTGGGAGATCTCCATGCTGCACCAAAGCAAAGCAGGACAGGGAGGATGGGAAAGAACCTCACGCATCTCAAATCCAGGCGTCTTTCTTAATAATGATATGTCAGAAAAACATGCAACTTACAGTACCTCTGTATTGATCCCAAGAGCTTTTTCCAAAGTGTAGCGGTACTTCCCCATTCTCAGTGAAAAATCCCGATAGCACTTGTCAACCGTAGTAACCCATTTCCTAATTTCTGTGGCGTGTGTGTGTCCTTTCTCCACGAAGCTATCGGCCAGCTGAATGAGAAGCTTCACTTTCTCTTTGGTTTGCTGTTCGAAAAGAATTGTTCTTGGTTATCACATCTTTTCACGGACATTCTGTTCCATTTTAAGTCACAAAGTAACCATCTGGGCCTTGTATTTTTCACAAATGCTGCTAATGTGAAATGTCCTTAAAATCTTGGGAGACAGAGTGTAGGTGGGATGCGGCTTTTTCCATCTAAAAGGTTTTTAAATCTGTACATTCTGTGTCAGATATCAGGGCAAGGAAGTAAGAATAAAACAGATCTGGTGGGTTTAATTTTGCAATAATTTTTGGCATTAACAGAACCCATGTGAGGAGAGGCACATGATTTTTGCCTAATTACTCTGCCTATAATCACTTCCTGGCTGTTCCAAAAGCTCTTTCCAACCCTTAAAAATGGTTTCCAGGAAAGAGGGGCAAGAGAATGCAATGGGGAAAAAAAAATCAAATGTTTCATCTTGTGCCACTGGAAAGACTTTAAATTAGCATATAGCTCTTACTGAATATATGATGCAGCAATATCAACTACGTAATAGTTAAAAAACAATTCTATTTTGAAAAATAATTCTTTTCCACTGATATTTGTGCCCACTCAGTGGAATAACTTCTATAACTAAATAGTCTGATTCTGAGATAGTCTTTTAAAAATAAAATAAAGAGAAAACAGCAGCTCTGAACAGCTTCTTACGTTTTCACTTATTTCTATTAAGCACTGCTGAATGGGAAATCATGCCTGGAAATTAACAAATAAGCAGTCCTTATGGCAACAGGCAACATAAAATGAAAAACTTGACATGAAAAACTTTCCCGAAATGACATTAAGATTAAATTATTTTTAATGGAAATAAAAACAAGTTTGGTGTACTCTCTAAGGTATTGGACTAAGATTGGGGAGACGCAGCCTCGAACTAGCTTGCTGCCATGACTTTTAGGCCAATCACTCTCTCCCAGCCTAGCTCTAACAAATTAACCATTGGGTGGAACAGAGCTGGCTGGAAAACTGTGAAGCATGATTGCAAAAACAGCCGAAGTTAGAATGTAAAGAAGTGATTCTGTCTTAAAGCAGTTACATAGAAGTAGTCCTCGGCTTGTAACCATAACTGAGCCCAGAATTATGGTCATAAATTGTAGTGGTTTCAGCAGGTCACATGTCCACACCTGATTTTACAACCTTTTCTGCTGTGGTGGTTAAGCAAGCATCATGCTTGTAAAACGAATCCATTAGACCCAATGGATGCTTTTGCTGGAAATCAAAAGTCAAGGCTAGAAACTATTTTAAAAAATGCTCAACATCACAAATAGCCATAAACGAGAGCCAGTTGCCAAATTCCCAAAATGTGATCATGTGACCATGGGTCATTAGTACCTTTGGGGAGAGGGGTCAATCATAACATCAAACATTCATTAAAAGAATGGTTGTTAAGTCAGGACTACCCATATATTGCTATAAAGTACTATAAAACCAGGTCTACTAATTATTTGTTCATACTTATATTTCACCTCTTTTTTTAGAGTTCAAGGTGGGGATTTCATTCCCATTACAACAACTCTGAAATAGGTGGGATGAGAGTGTATGACTAGTTTGAGCCTAAGCTTCTACGGCTAAGGATGGACTTGAACCCAGTCTAACCCACTAACTACTACACCACGTTTACATCTCATTTCTCTTAGGGAACCTTAAAATTGTTTTCCTAAAACAAATAAGGATACAAACAAACAAACCTTTTGCTCCCCTATATCACTTTAGAACGGAAGAGAATTGCAATATGGTGTTTAGATATTAAAAGCATACCATCAAGAGCTTCATTGGGTTAGTCTATATAGGGGTTTAGATATCAGTCCAATTGTCCAAAATAATGTGAATTGTGTCTGAATTCTGAGAACTATAAAATATTTGAGTAGGATAATATTATGTTTTCAATTTTTTCCCCTTCCGTTCAGTTGTATCTGATTCTCAGGGACAACCTGGACAAGCCCCTACAATCTTCTTAGCAAGGTTTGCCATTGCCTCCTCCCAGCTGAATTCTTGCCAACGTCAGGACTAGAACTCAGGTTCTCCTGGCTTAACTTGACACCTTAACCCAGCGGTTCTCAACCTTTGTGTGACGGCGACTCCCATCACATGGACGCGCCGCGCATGCACGGTGCCGCCCCCATGCGCGGCGCCCCCTGAGGGGGAAAAATGGTGGATCGCGTTGTTTGGCGACCCCTGTAAAATGGTCGTTCGACCCCAAATGGGGTCGCGACCCATAGGTTGAGAACCGCTGCCTTAACCACTACACTAAACTGACTTTCCGATCAGATAACATATATCAAACTAATTTCATAAGTTATTTCACATATAAATATCTCACCCTCTTTAAACTGTACATAAAATTTGCATTGGTGTAAACAGTAAAGGGCATTAAACTCATCATTTTATGCATACAAATTCATGGTTTGATTTATTACGCTGCTCAAACAATTCCCTCCTCACCTTTGGACAGTTGTCTCAGCAGTGCCTTCCATAATCATATACTTATTGATTTCTTAATGATAAAACCTCATATTGTTTATAAATTATAAATACAGTTCACCTTGGCAGGTGCTTTGAATTCTCCATATTCTTTCAAAAGTTCCTGTGTTTCATCTGCTGATTCTCCAGTGGAAGTGTGAGTAGAGAGATAATATTCTCCTGTTTCCTGAATCCAATCCAAGGCCTACAGATGGGGCAAAAATACATTTTTAAAAAATGGAACCTTATGATACTATAAGATTAACACATTTTATTATATGGCCATTTATCCTGAACAACATTTTATTATATGGCCATTTATCCTGAACAGAGTATTACATTTCTGTGTTCCCAATGTTCAAAATATCTGAAAATACTAGCACGATTCAGGAGCAACTTTCACCTCAAATTTTAAAAAAAAAAGTAAGAAAATGTGTTGTGCTCTATACAGGATGCCATTATCTGCTCTAGAGTCTAGATAATAGCTCAGGCAATTAATGTGAGAGAGCTGATAGTAGAAAAATAATTTCAGCACCATGGCCAGTACAATAGATCACAGAAAAAGAGATTGGTTTTTTTTAGGACCATGGAGAGCAATCTTACAGCAAAATTCTCCCTTCCATCAAAACACTGATTCCTCCTAAAGGTTTTATAGAGAAAGCAGGAAAATGTCCTAAATGTTCACCAATGCTATTTATTACTTGCCTTTTGTTTTTCCTCAATAATTCACCGCACACTTTCCCCAGTAACTCACTAAAGCTCCTTTTCCATTACTATGTCCTAAGTATGAAAGTCCATTTGGTTCTCTTGCTAGAATACTGGAGTGAGTTGCCATTTTTGTCTTCAGTGGGCTCTAGTCTGAGCCCTCTTCTTTAATCATGAATGATTCTTATGAGAGGGAACTCTCCTTATGGCGAGGCTTAAACGGTCACTGACATGCCCCAAATTCTTCATAATACAAGGTAATGAAAAGTTCTTGTTCACAAGAAGAATGCAAAGACCACAAGAAGAATGCAAAGACCACAAGAAGAATGCAAAGACCACTCCTCCAAGTCAAAGGGAAGCACAGTTCACACAGACAGCATAGATAGGATCCTAGAAGGACGTTCCAGGTTAAGAGACTTGTTCTACTCCTTCTAAGAATTGCTATTGCCCAGAACAGTCTTTGGTGGCTCACTTCTGAACAGAAGGCTATGAAGGGCTCCAAATGCAGCTTTTTATAGAAAGCAGACCGTTCATTGCCTTGAATTCTGTAAAGTCTTTCACTTCTTTTCATTTCTTCCTTTTTATTGTTGTAAGCCACCTAAGAGTCGGCCAATCGTGAGATAGGTGACGAATAAATTTAACAAATAAATAAATACAGTCAAAACAGAATTCTGCATACTTAAACAGAATGTATTTCTGATATGACTGTCGTGTTATTCAGTCTACGCTGTCTGCCTGCTAGACTAAGTAGAGGAGAGAACTATGCAATTAACAAGGACTGAGAGTACACTAAGACATGTGCTTTTCTGGATCATTTTGTGAAATTTCTTTTGTATGCCCATATATTGTAATGTTTTCAAGTTGCAAATCAAAGATCACTGGAATATGTGTGCAGGAGGAAAGGCTATGCTAGACTTCTCACTGCATTATTCCATTTTTTTTGCTTTCTTCATGTGATGAAGCCAACAGAATTTCAGCTATAAAATAAGGTGCAAAGGTATCAGGTTCTCCCACAGAATGTACAGTAGATTATTAAATGAAAAGGTTGGTTTTTGGTTCACAATCTATTAGGCTTCATACTTACTTGGACTAATGGCCAATTGGGTTTAGTTTTAAACTCTGATCTGTCTTGAACTTTTCCAGTGATTATAGTTAGGAAGGACTGGACATAGGACTTACAAGAAGTACATATCACAGATAAATTCTCCCCATAGGCAATCTATTAAACTGTCTCACATTCAGTGTCATCCCTAGACAATGAAGAGAAGCGTGGTGTTTTGTCAAGTTACCTGCTTTGCACTGCGCTCAAAGACTACATATTGCTGACACTGATCCAGTCGCCTTTTCTTCAAAGTCCAAAAATGAAGAACACGATTTTCCCTCTGCAGCAGCTCACTCAGAATGGCTATGGAGGGAAAAAGAGAAGAGCTGTTTCCTTAGCTGGTTTGGTAAGCACAGTCAAAAGAAAGCGGTTACTGATTCGACCCTGTACTTTATCCTAAGAATGTAAGTTCCTAGAGTTAAGCACTTCAGATTAGGCTTTAAAAAAAAACAACAGCAAGGATAGTCATTAACACAAACAGCTTAGTACGTTTTTGTGAACGTCAGTGAGCTCAAAACTCTTGTAAAAGTAGAATACTTTCACTAGTGAAGAACACTTCAGTCTATGCTTTTCAAAACTCACACACACACATACACACAGAGAGAGAGACCAAACAAACCTCAAACTATGTAGGCACTAAGAGTTTAGGCACCCAGCTACTCTATGTAACAAAAAATACACTCCATGTTTTCTCGGCATACCTTTTCTTTAAATATTTCTACCATTCTTTATTAAGTTTAGCAGTACTAGTAAATCATATTTCTCTGAGGATACTGCTTTGCAGGGACCTTTGAAATAACAATCTAAAAATACATCTGATGACATTATAGTTCCCTAAATTTCCACTAGAAACAATCCTATTTCTTTAAATATATTAGATCATTTTATTGTCATCATCATCATCATCATCAATTCAGATGTCATAATGCGATAGAAGGTTTAAATTCAAAGATTTTTTCCGTTCATGACAATGAATGATAAATACATCCATATTTTAAAGATTGTAACATTTGTTACTGAAGTGTAGTGTCGGTGTAGTCCAAGATCATTGTGCAACAGAAAGAAAGCCCACCTATTCTCCATTTTTTAATTAATATTAATCAAAATTAATGAAGAAAAAAATCTATTCAAGCTTTAATATAACAAATTCTACGGGACTGGTACAAAATAACATGAATAGAATAGAATAGAATAGAATAGAATAGAATAGAATAGAATAGAATAGAATAGAATAGAATAGAATAGAATAGAATATTCCTAATCCATACAAAAGAACCATTCCCTGATTTCTGAGTTGTGAAGGAGAGAACAAAATATTTTGCAACTCCTTGGGACAGCTGATCATATTTGGTTTGGTCCACAAAGATGGTAAGGGCATGTGTTTCTGCTCTTATGTAATCCATCCTTACCTGAGGAGATTATAAACAGAAGCAGTGAGCCTGTGGCATACAAAATAAGCTCAGGTGCCATTCCATTAATGTGGGGCTCAAAGAACACACACTGACCTTTCACTTGCTGTTCAGGACCCCTGGTATGGCTCACTACTCCTGGCATGCTGACGTTGTTTCGATGAATGTACTTGAGAAACACTTCTGCATTCCTTCGTGCTAGTGTGCATGCCTGTGGGCAACAAATAACACCCCCAGGCCCCAGCACGACAGTTACAATTTTGACAAGCAAACTGGAAGAATAAAACATTAAGGAACCTTCTGAACTGTGACTTGAGCTTTATTTTCCCTTTTGACCTCTGAAGAATGTTGATGTGCATGAAAAAACATGAGAGATCTTCAGACTGCAGTCAGACATAACCATCATTTTGGGGATGACATGAGGGAAAATATTACCTAGAAACATTGACTGATTTCCAAGAAAAATACTAATGTCCCAAGAAAAGCACTAATGTCCCAAGTAGGATGTTAATCTTACTTTAACCCTAAAAGCTGCCAATATATTTCTTCAGGAAGTTGATCCTTCAAAGTTATACAATTGTCTCATCTGTATGTTGCTACTTAAAAAAAAAAGTGGTGAGTTCTTACAAAACATGAGAGTTATGTGGCATTAGGAAGGAAAGTCAGTCATTTCCTCCATCGAGAATACATATAGCTTAAGACTTAGTTAAACCAATAGTGGAATTTTAATGCAAATCAAAGTCAAAGGTCTTTCCCAACCCTGACATCCTAATGTACAAGGATTTGTACAATGTACACTGCACATGCCATTGAGTAACTACTGTAGCTGGGGAAGTGAGAATTTGAAGAGGGGGACACCTTAACAAAAGAAAAGGATTTGATTTAAATTCTTTAACCTCTCAGCATAAGTACAACTTTTAAAAAAAGAGAAGAAAAAAACCCCAAGAAGTTTCAATTGCTCCTCTACTTAGCAGCTTAATCTTACTTTCAAGGTAGCTGCCATGTTAACTTAATATTTATTATGATTATGGAAGCAAACATCTCATTGTTACCTCTCCTCCCCACTCAAACAAACAAACAAACAAGTAACTAAGCGATATAAGCATAAGAGCCGAGGTGGCGTAGCAGTTAGAGTGCAGTACTGCAGGCCACTTTAGCTGACTGTGTTCAGCAGGTCAAATCTCACCGGCTCAAGGTTTCCATCCTTCCGAGGTAGGTAAAATGAGGACCCAGATTGTTGGGGGCAATGTAAATATATATATACATTGCTTACTGGTGTACACCGCTTAGAGCAGTGGTTCTCAACCTGTGGGTCGGGACCCCATTTGGGGTCGAACGACCATTTCACGGGGGTCACCAAACAAAGCTGTCCGCCATTTTTTTCCTCCTTTTCTTTGGCCACGCCCCTGGCACCAGGTGATGTATAAGTGGTTGGGGGTCACCACAACATGGGGAACTGTATTATGGGGTCGCGGCATTAGAAAGGTTGAGAACCACTGGCTTAGAGAGTACTTGCACTTAAAGCGGTATATAAGTCTCATAAATAAATAAATATCTGCAAGAGGGACCTAAAGGCCTTGGAAATGGACATTAACAGCTGGGAATCCTTGACCTCTGATCGTTCAGCCTGGAGGCTAAAGACACAGCATGGCCTTCTCCAATTTGAAGAGACACTTATGCGGCAGGCTGAGGCAAAGTGGAAGTCCAGGAACCAGCGAAATCTGAGGGCTGGACAGGGGACAGATTGTATCTGCCCTCAGTGTGGAAGGGACTGCCATTCTCACACTGGCCTTTTTAGCCACACCAGATGCTGCCTTTCCACAGCAAGATACCATAGTCTCTTGAGACTGAAGGATGCCAATGGAAGTAAGTAAGTAGACATTTGCTCAAAGTTGTCTTCCTTTATGTTTTCATGCTGGCTATTCTTTTTTTTTTTTTAATGTGGCAGGGCACACAAATATATTAGACTTTTGTTTTTGCAGAAATGTTATTTTCTTAGAATCAACACTGAGGATACACCAAAAGTCAATGCATAACTATTCTATTTAGGCTAGTGGAATATTCATATGAGGTAACATGACAGCAGCAAATGTGTGTGAGAGATCAGCTATTCCTTTTCAGAACAGAAAAAGTGCAAGCTAAAATTTTAGTTTTAAAAGAACGAGAGGCTAAGGCAAGCAATCTTTGAAATGGGTAATGTTACTGAAAAAGTTTGTGTTTGTTTTATTAGGAGATTCTAGGCATAAAGAAACCTTAAGAACCCTCTATTTCATGGCCAGTCATGGTTCAGGCTATACAGGCATGAAATCATTCCAGAGAAGAACACACATTAGGAATGCATGCACACATTCTGCTTTTATGGCTCTTATTATAAAATAAGATGAAAGATGCCTCTGTCCTACAAACCACAGTAGATCAAAGACAGAACATAATTTATGTTCCTACAGACCAGTTTCCATCCAACAGTTAGTACCCAACTTTTATTTATTTTATTTTTATTTTATTTATGAGACTTATATACCGCTTTAAGTGCAAGCACTCTCTAAGCCAGTGGTTCTCAACCTTTTTAATGCCACGACCCTCAACCGGTCATAAGTCGAGGACTACTCAACTGGTCGTAAGTCGAGGACTACTCAACTAGTGCAGCACCATTTGCAGAATGGGACTTTTGGCGGGCTCAGCAGGGCAGAGACAGCCGGGACAATTCCTATTGGCTTTTGAAAGCCAATAGAATTAGACTCTATTCAAGAGAGTCTATTCTATTGGCTTTCAATAGAATAAAAGGGAGTAGCACAGCTAAGGAAAAGGGGAAAAAATGGCGGACTGCATTGTTTGGTGACCCCCGTGAAATGGTTGTTCGACCCCAAATGGAGTCCCGACCCACAGGTTGAGAACCACTGCTCTAAGCGGTGTACACCAGTAAGCAATGTATATATATATTTACATTGCCCCCAACAATCTGGGTCCTCATTTTACCTACCTCTTACTTCTTACTTCTGCAATGAGAACAAAGGAAAAAACAACTGCTAAAAACAGGAGAAATAGACGGGACCTTGAGAAAGGCTTCTTTCTGTTCCAGATGTTTGCTGATTAAGGGAATAACATGATCTATCTCAGAGGACGGTCCCAGCTTATCCCGACCTCCACACCAGTCTTCATCTCTTCGATATTCTTGCTCCAAACTCTCCAGCACACTGCAAACCTTAGACATAAGCAAGAACACAATTGTTCAGTTATCAAAGTTACCTTTAGAAGCAGAAGTAATTTACCATTAAAAGCGTAACTCTAACAGCTGACCAAAAATGTACCCTGATTCACAGGTGTTATACGAAATTCATCATACAGGAAGTTGAGGTGAAGCAGCCTTTCTCCCATTTGAACCTTTACAGATATATTAGATGGCAACTCCCATCATCCCCATGCACTATGGCCATTGATAAGGAGTAATGGAACTTGTAATACTAAGCAACAGGAAGGGTCTAGAACACGGGTGTCAAACTTGATTGCATCAAGTGATGTATCGTGACTTTTTTGCCTTTGTGGAGCCAGGATGGATGTGGCCTGTGTGTGATGCATCTAGCCCACAAGCCACCAGTTTGACATCCCTGGTCTAGACTAGAAAAACTAGGCAGGAACACAAACTATTCAAAAATGTCATATTAACAAGACTGTGTATACACACACCCAAACTTGTCCAAGATTGACTCAGCCTTGCATCCTTCCGAGGTTGGCAAAACGAGGACCCAGATTGTTGGGAACAATAGGCTGACTCTGTAAACTGCTTGGAGAGGGGTGAAAAGTACTGTGAAGCGGTATATAAGTCTAAGTACTATTGCTATTTATTCTGTATTGCTTACGTATTATATATTAGTATTTTGTAAAACTATTCACTATGATGCAAATGTTCTATGTCAAGCAACTGAACAGTTATATTTTATACTTGTAAGTTAGAAGAATAGTATCATTTGATCTCCCAAAGTTTAAATTTTAACTATATGAAAAATGAAATATCATAAAAGAAAAACGCCTCCTTTTGGATTTGTAACGGTGAAAGCTTCTAGGCCAATCCATTGAGTGGTACATTTGATTGTTGTCGCCAGGGTGGGTGGAGGGTTATTGCTTTTTTTTACTGTACTTGTATTTATCACTGTAATCCATCTGGAGTCACTGAGAATGAGTTGGACAGCCATATAATTTTAAATAAATTCCAATCACTATAGACCATGGCTTTCAATCTGCAACTGGGGCAACAGTGTTTTGGCTAAAGATAGCCAACGTTTTTTGGATAATCTATTCATCCAGGCAACATCTCTTTCTTGGGTGATGTAGGCTAAAGAGTACTTTGAAATAACATGGATGATTTAGATAGTGCTTGAAAAGATTTTATTGCATGTAAATGCAATCCCTTCCCTCCGTGCTTCTTATCATGATAATTTATGTAATAGGGTTTGCTAATTAATAAATCTGATCTAATTGCATTTCCTTCTGATACATCTTGGACTGGGTATATAGAACCACCCCTTTTTTGGGAATAGGAAAGGCTGGGCTAATGGTTTTACTTTGCCATTTCAATATCTGATTTATGTTGGTTGCAGAACATGGGAAGAAAGCACTGCCCTCAGTCTCATTAGCTTCTGGTGATGGCAGGGATGAGGGTGGGTGGTATCATATATCAAGGAGGTGATTTTGTACCTTGCCAAAATGTGGAGAGAAATACATCAGCTGATGTCCAAGACACCCTGTAATGCTGCTAGTGCTTAGTCCAGCAGCTCCCAACCTTTTCTATCCTCCATACCCCTAGAACGCTTCTGATATATTCTGATACCCCTTACAAAAGTTCAAAATAATGGCAACGAATTATGCATATACACTATAATTTTGAAAACCCAAGTTTTTGCACCCCCTGGAATATCATCTCACACCATCTGGTTGGGAACCACTGGCTTAGTCCACTGCAAAATTAATTTACCTTCCCATATCCTTTCAATCAACTCATTCCTTGGCAGTGCTTTAAAATCATTTTGCCACATTCATCATGTTCCCAATAAGTGACCGTTTAAATTATACTAAGGCAGGGGTAGGCAACCTTGGCTCTTTTATGACTCATGGACTTCAACTCCCAGAATTCCTGAGCCAGCATTCTGGGAGTTGAAGTCCATGAGTCATAAAAGAGCCAAGGTTGCCTACCCCTGTACTAAGGTAATATTAGATAAGTCCTTTGTGCTCAATATTAGGGTTACCAAATATAAACTTCAGTGAACACTGATATTTATAGATGCCTAGAAAAACAATTACTATAACACTATGTGCACTATGGCCGATCAGTCTATGTTACTGAATAATCAGTAGCAATTCTAAACAGTAGCAATTACTGTATGTCTTTATGTAATGGTCATTTCAAATAGTAGTAGAGCTATTGCAAACAAACTGAACAATGAAGAAGGCCTTGTTCCTCTCACCTGCTCTGAAGTTTTATAGAAAGCAACAGAGGCATTGACCAGTTTTAGCCGGTCCTCCATCTTTAGCATGAGTTGCTGCCAATGCAAGGCCACTTTTTCCGCACATTCCCGGATGGCATCAGCATCGTAATGGCCGGCCTGCAGTAACACCTCTGCCTTTTGCTGTACCTGGAGAGCACTCTGGTGTGTCTTCTGCAAGGAAGTGGCATGAAAGAGGGACTGTATATGTAGGGAGGAAAGAGAGATTTGTACAGATGTGCCAAGCAAATGGTATAAAGAGGTGAGGTGAGGTGTGAGCATGAAAAGGTGAGAGAATGAAACACTTTTTAGAATTAGCATTTTGAACAGTAAGCATTCTGCACATTCATGTAACACAGCCCCAATGGCATTTAAGTAAAAAGGATACTGACATTAACCTGGTATGTTTGCTGAACAGTTCTTTAGATATTTTTTTTTGCATCATTATTAGCTTAAGATATGAAAACCCATATTCACTTTAAAAACAGATCTGAGTATGTGTATTCTATTCAAAACATATATTTTTACTACAGTGTGATCATCTTGAACAATTGAACCTCTGTATTTGAGAAGCAGTTTCATAGCTTATGTGAAGTTTACTCATGGAAAGTAGTCCTATCACTGCAATAATTAAGAGGAAGAGGTTAAAGGATTTGCAAAGAGAACACCCAATATAGCAGCTAAACTTTCTTCACTTTGTAGATAAGTAACATGCTGCAATATCAAGCATCTGATCTTTAATATTTAATCTACTAGCCCTCTACTCTTGGCAGTATGAACAACCACATTTTATTGGGGGAGGAAGGGCTCTTAGTTGGTATCAAGGTTAAGCATCTCTGAAATACAGCAAGCTATACAAATAGGAAATAAATATCTTGTTCCACAGAAGTGCTTTATTAATGCTGCCAAGATGTAATGAAAGGTAAAGAAATTCCTCAATGGATGATAAACCCTTCCTTTCCTTTCAGGGCTTCCCAGCATGCCAACATATGTATAAAAAAGTGACTACTTATTAAAATATTGGGTAAATGGATTTCTGGGAGCATCTACTATAGTCAAATACCAGGAAAATTATGATTCTGAATCAAGAGACAGAGTATAGTTAACATTTTCTGTTATTCTACTTAGGCAATTTTCACAAGTGACCCCAAACACAATTGTGAATTTTCTATAACAAAATTAATCCCTAAGCAATCCCTCATTATCCACAACTTCATTCCTAAAAAAACACTTGGGGAAAAATATTTACAAGAAGTAAAACATGATAAAAATCCCAACTGTTATTCCTAAAATACATATGTACACTAACTTTGGGATATAGTAACTCATCTGCTCGTATAACATACATATTGTATGTGTCCAGTGGCTTAATAAATTAGAACTGAAGTGACCCAGTTTAAGCCACAAAGGTCCCCCATGATCTTCATTGGGCCAATCACTATCTCCTGTCTGATCTGCCTCATCTGATTATCTTGGAGATAAAAAAAGGAAAGTCTGCTATCCATAGTCCCCTAAACTTCTTGAAGATGCAATGAGATAGATAGGAAATAAAAGAATTGTAGCTGTTTCTGGATAAGCTATTTTTTTTTCTCTTTCCTAATACAATATCATAAAATATCACAAATTGAACTATTTCCCTCATTTTAAAAAAATGATAGAATAAACATTGGGACTTATATATACTGAGGATCTCTGGAAAAATAAATAGATACTACTGCAATGCAATGAAGGAGATTAAGATCAAAAGCAATCCTTTCCTTTTATTTAGCACCCTAGAAATAGATTTTTTTGATATTAATTTGCATATGGACTACTATAACCTTTGCTATTTGGTGAACAATATTCATATACATTTTTATACAGAAAACATGTTTGTCTTGGCTGTATCAGATTATACATCTTGAGTGGAATATGGCAATCAGATATTTATTTATTATTTTATCTGGGGCAGGAAGGTTGGTAGTGTGTTAAGGTATTACTACTTCAAAATTTTGTGTGCTTAAAACAGCAACTGCCTGCTACAGCAACCATCTGCAGTTACAATGGTGATGAAAAACTAACTTTGGGACCAATTCTCACATTTATGACCTTCACAGGTCTGTGTAAAGCAAAGAAAAGCTGAAGTAAAATCATCAGCATAGTTGTGGTTTCACTTAGCAATTGCTTTGCTTAATGACTGCAATTGCTAAAAGAGAACTACCTCCCATACGCACTTACACATTAATTTTAGTAATAGGAAAGTTTAACTGTTAATTGGAAGTTATTTCTCCCTTGCTGCTCTCCTCTCTGAACACCGTTCAGATTATTTCCAAAGCCTCATCTTTGCAATTTGCATAAGAAAAGAGAAAGTCAACATGCACAGTAAACATTACCTCTATGGCCAGCTGAAATTGCTCGTGCTCTCTTTGGAGCTGCTCAGCCTCTGACAAGGAACTTGCATTGACAAGACTGGCGTTGAGCATTGATTCTCCATTACGGATCCAGCCAAGGACCTGGCATGAAAAACAGACATTTTGAGACACAACTTTTTCACTTCATGAAATAGCTGGGAGTGGGTGGATTGCAGTGTGGATAGCAGTGTCACCAGCATCCAGATGTTACACTAATCTACTTTACTAAGAATTCTTGAATCTGTATCTGGAACCAGTTTTGGAGTAGGTGAGGAAGGTGAGACTATATCCAGACAAATTGGAGGTGTGATGAATAACAACATTAATTTTTCTGGTTAGAGAACTCATGCTCTGCAAGATTCAGGCCTTCAGCCCTTTTCCGCCATTTGACCCTGTCCCATGAGAGATACTGTGCATCAGATGATGCATTTTAGTTCTAATTAGATTTAGTTTGAAAAATAAATTGTAATTAAATAAAAGAGATTGGTTTCAATGTAGACTAAGTATAACTAACTTACTCTGGATCTCTATGCGAGTCTATGACCATAATAAAAATTTGGTTTGATTTGATTACTCGGTATCTAATCCAATGAGACCAAAATAATCTAATGCCCTCTGTTACAAAGAAACAAAACCCATATATGAAATACTGTAAATAAAATACAAACAGTCCTTCATTAAATATCGATAATATGTACATTACACAATTTTACTGAGTATATTGGATCAAAACATAAATAGAAATATATGAGATATATGATTTACAGCTAGTTAAATTTACTTAACAAGCTGCTCAAATTGTATGTTATCTAAAAGAGACAAAAGCCAATGTTATGTGGTTTGTTTCATGCAACTTTTTTTCCTGAAAAATACTTGCATTTTCCAGATACGTTTGTCTGTAGCTTCTTTAATTATTTGACATGGCTAGAAACAAGGTACCATCAACTTTCTTTTTCTTTATTGTTTTCATGTTTGTAAAAATTGATTGTTTCAAGAAATAATCAACTGTTATTTATTTGATACTCATCCAAAATCCATCTGTAGATGCAGTAAGAGGAGGGAAATATGTACATTTAATTATTTAACTATTATTGCTATACAGTCAAACTTCTATTTTACATCTAGTAATCTTTTTTGCCATTTCATCTCCCAGAACTCCTCCAAAAGTGGGGGGGAGAGGTTTCCTCTGGGATCCCCAAGCAACAAGAGTCTGCCCAAACTTATTCCATCCAAAGTCTGCTCTTTCAAGCAGCAACTACAGCCTCAATTGAACCAGGTGCTAAGACTTCAGAAACAACTACTAACTCCCTTTGAAATCCAACTGGGTATATGATGTCCCTGGGCCAGACCAAATAAATCCAGCAGAATGAGATGACTCACAGCATGGATGAGTGGGCATGGCCAGGTGGGTGTGGCTGGGTCATGCGACTGGGTGCACATGGCCAGATGGGCACAGAGGAGTGGGCACAAATGACTTGGCACAGATGACTCAGCAAGATGACTCAGTGCAACTTGGTGGGCATGGACAGGTCAGCGTGGAACAAGACATCCTGATTAACTGGATGTGGGGACAACTCAGCACCCCATCTTGCCTCCCCAAACTGCCAGCAGCCAAGCACATGTCTCCCAGAGCCTGCACTGGAGCCCGGCGGTGGTTGATCCACCACCTTCCTGAGAACAACTTCCTCCTCCTCCCCCTCCCCCCCTCCTCCTCCTCCTCCTCCAGCCAGACTGGAGACCTCACCTTCTCCAGATTTTACTGTCTACACATCAAGGATGCTTCTGCCTCAAGTTCACTAAGAAAACCACGGGTGTCAAACTCGCCGCATTATGTGACGTGTCGCAACATATCGTGACTTTTTTTGTATTGCCGGAGCTGGCATGGGCGCGGCCTCTGCATGATGCAACCTATCCTTATAAGTATTTATATGATGGAAATACTTACAAGAATTCTAACTCCAGCAGTTATTTTGTCAATATCATAATAATTCTTTTCTTTAAATTCTTTAGCATAAAGAACTATGAAAAACCAATCATTTATCTTGTGATATTCTAAAGATTTGCAGTGTCTTTTCTAACTTTAAATTTTCTACCTTGGCACTGAAGTTTATTAAATGTGAATAGAGGGAAAACAACAATTTAGAATTTCCGTTGTGCTAAAGTGCAACCATCTGTCAGCATTCTAGAATGCTCCAGACTTTGTACTGCATCAGCAAAAGTTAAGTAGGGTTAGCAGTATGAAACTGTTTGGTGGCAGTCTACTTTTCCTTGGCTTCTAAGAGCAAGAGCTACTTGTAATAAATTTAAGACCATTTGTTTTCTCAACTGTTCCAAAGTGAAAATGAAATACACTTGGATCTCGACTGAAAACGGAGAGCAAGCCAAAATCAATTCAGATTCCAATTTTACTAAATGATGTTACTTATGACTCATTCTTCAGGAAGCCAAATTTAGCCAATACCTACCACAGTGTGACAGGGCCATGATATATTTTAATTCAGCTGCTTCCAAGGAAAGCTATTGCTGCAATAATTCACAAACTAATAAGCCATTGACTTTTAAAATATGAATCTGAACCAATAAAATCTTGCCACGGACTTCCTGAAAAGGATCTGAATGAAGAAGGCTCATAAATACTTAATAATAAAATAACTAATGACTCACGGGTTGTCAGCCTTCCCAGGTAGACCAGAAATGAAATTCACCAGGTGAGCTAATTCTACTTTATTGTAAAGCTTCATTAAGAGTATCTTGCAAGTCTGAAAGTACACTGTCTTCCATGGTCTCTTTTTACACTCTGCTAAAATAGGAGGGGATCCTTTTTAAGTTTCTTTCTCTGCCTGTGATGCAGCTGGAGGCTCCCCCTTCCGCTGCCTTTTATCTGAGCATCCCCCTAGGCTGCATCTCGTGTCTCTCAAGGTAATTCCCATGTAGCATTACACAGGTACTCTCTTGAACTAGGTTTGAATGTTCCCTTCTAAACCAATGCTACTTAGTCTGCTCTTTTGGTTATTGGTATGGTATAATTAAATTAATATAAAATGTAATATTCATTGAGCAACTATTACACAGATAACCTTTAAAAATGAGAAGAACATTAGAGATAAAAACAGGCAGAGTGTTAGAGACAGAATGAGAGGGCATATTCCTAAATGGATGTAAAAATGAAACTGGAACATTTTAAAAGGGACCCTTAAAAATTAGTTGTAAATTCAAGGAAGAATGAGATATTTCCATAAGAGCCACATAATAACTGAAATCATAAATATTAAAATATGATGTTGAACCCTGGAATCTTCAGTTGGGTCACATTATTTTTAGCGGGGATCATATATTGATCATATCATATCACCATATATCATAATCCAAAACAGTATCAGTGGTTGCCGATTTATTTTTGAGAGAATAAGTATTTCTTTACTTTTGATTCCATCTTTATTTTTGCTTCCAGAGAGTTAATTTTCAAATCATAATATGCTATGGCAGATTCTGAAACTATCTGACAACAATGACAGGCAAAAAAGAGATCCTACAAATATTTTCAAGCATTATTGACTACTTTGAGCTCTGAATGAATGAGAGATATGTCATAAGCTTTAAAATGTAAGAAATAAAGAATGTTCCATAGTTTCCAACTTTCTATCTTCATGTGATAGGTTGAAACTCATTTTTAAGAGCAAGGAACACAGTTTTTAGAGTCCTCACACTATATTCCAATATTTACAGCCCTTGAGAGTATAAACATTGATGAAAGTGGTTGAATAGAATTATGGAGCACATAGGTTGCTGAGCTGCAGCAGCTAAATGTAAATTGAGCAAATGGTAAAGCAATCAAGCTCCTTTTACTTCCATATTTTGAATACATTCCAGACTAATAAACTTGATACCTCAAATTCACCACTCTCCTGGCCTAAACAAGCCGTCAATGGAATCATCTACACAACCATTTTTCTTGTTAATTTATATTTCATGTTCCTGCTTCAACATAAAATATTCAAACCACAAGATGCTTTTTTAAATGAATAGAATTATTGTCCCACGGGTCAATAATAATGCATGAATCAAACCTTAAGATATTTTTACACCAGTGTTGCTTTGCTTTATGCTTCATGCAAATCAAATACACTTTTTTCTGTTCCAGATTTCTTCCTGCTTCTTGCACAGACTTTTATCAGTAGTGAAACGTTCCAGACTTGTATATTTTTGAATACAAGTAGTATTAAAGTTTACATGAACACTCCCCCACAAATACACCTCCCCAAGCATTTTTCTCAGTTCTTGGACCAAATCAATGGCTTTGGTCAAAGCAGAAAGAGAACATGTCCTACTAGATCCTAAAATGAATGAAAGTGATGACAGTTTTTTTTTCACTGTGTTTGTTTTGAATATGTATCACTTTATTCAATATTCAGTTCTCATACAATATGAGATGAAAAGCATGTCTAGCTGAATTTTTTTTTAAAGGAGAGAATATTGAGAGAATAGAGCAGGGATGGGCAATTAATTTTCTAAAGGGACCACATGAGAAACTGGGACTGTTGTGAAAGGCCATCACCATGGCCACCATCACCCACAGCACCACCTAGCCCCCCCCACCGCCCCCCCTGGTGTTGTGGGCAGTCGGAATGAGAGTTAACACTGGTGTTACTGCACGAGAGAACTTTCTCTAAATGAGGTGGCAGCAATCAGTGACCTTCACAGCCCTCTCCCTTCTCTCTCTATCAGTCACGTGGTTCACTTGAGCTACCTGTACTGATACAGATGTGAATTTTAAGAGGCTACCAGAATTTGAATGGTAGGACAGGGCGTTTTAACAGCCAGCATGATCCCATAAGCAAAGAAGCAGAACAATGGTGAAAACCCTGACCTGCTTAACCTCTGCCTGCAGGTGCCGAAGCTGAAGGCACTGCTCGAGCCGTTTGTGCGTCTGATCAGCATTCAGCTCCAATTCGTGCTGTTTCTCATGAAGAAATTCCAGCAGCTCTTGCACTTGGATTGCTAGATCGATGTCCTTTTCACAGATCAGTTCGATGCCTGGAATAGAATAAATGTCCTCAGATGGAGAAACAGGCAAGATGCTCATTGCTCCCTTCTTGGGGGGAGGGAAGGAGAGCCCGGCAAAGTGATATGACCTACAATGATATCGGACTTTGGTTGAACGTAAATTACTGTAGATTGAACCCATAGAGTTGACAAATTTTTAGCTGCTCTTAATCTAGCATTTCCTGTGATTTTGTTGAAGTTGCCTGCATGGGATATATGTCCATAAACAAATATTATTCTTCCCATTTCATTCTTTCTTGGACACAGCTATTTGAAATAACCATTTGCAACAGGAAAGAATGGTGTATTAAATCAAAGCAAGAAAGTATTTCTTCATGTCTCTTTGTATCTCTATTAAATATAGATATAAAGAATACAAACTAGATCTTGATTCGTTGTAACCATTAGTTCTCCTGAGTTAAGATGATATCATTCTTTCATAATGGAAAGAAAAAAGTAAACAAAGGTAAAGGACTTTGTTTTAGCAAATGGAAAGACAAGGCAATGTGCTAAGCACAGGAGCACCACAGTTAGTCAAATGCTCTTCTTCTATGCAGTTTGTTCATTGTGAAGCGCTGCATTCTGAGCAAGTTGTTTTAATAATTAGATTTGAATTGTGGCATTAAAATGTTCAAGAAATGTTCTTTGTATCCACTTACTACTTCACTTATTCATTTTAAAATGTACCAGATGTGCCTCAGTACTTCAGCACTTCAATTCTACTTATGGGAATAATGAGGTTAAATAAGAAAAGATAACAGAAATGCATACCCATACAGGCATATTGAGTGATTCATGCCTAAGCTGAATTACAGCTATTAGAAAATTCAGTATTATACATGATTGCTATCCCAAATCAGTAAACTTTTCAGATTTGTTTGAGCATCCCAAAGCAGACACTTTGTCACTTAAAATCATCCACTTCTTCAGAGATGAAGGGAATGTTTATGTTAGGTAATTGACTAAACATATAAGCATATATTGTTTGTAGGCACTGTTTGCAATCCAATCCATTTGAAAAGAAGTATCCTTGTTTAATGACCAGTTGTTCAGTGACAGTTTAAACCCAAAACAATACTGAATAAATTATAGTAAAGACTGGGCAACATATGTATGGCTATCACTGTGTCTGTGGTGATAAGATCTGGATTCTTTTTTCTTTTAGGATTTACCTAGTTTTATGAATTCTGAGAGATTAAGTACATTTCTATCTGGATGTTTATTTATTTATTTATTTATTTATGAGACTTATATACCGCTTTAAGTGCAAGCACTCTCTAAGTGGTGTACACCAGTAAGCAATGTATATATATATTTACATTGCCCCCCACAATCTGGGTCCTCATTTTACCTACCTCGTTAGGATGGAAGGCTGAGTCAACCTTGAGCCGGTGAGATTTGAACCGCTGACCCGCTGAACACAGTCAGCTAAAGTGGCCTGCAGTACTGCACTCTAACTGCTGCGCCACCTCGGCTCTTAAAGAAAGAAAGCTTTTAAGAAAGCTTTTACTGTAGTAAGGGAAAATCAAATGACTTTTGATTTAATTTCCTTTGTATTTATTCCTGGTAGACATCTCCAGTTATACTGTAGTCCATTTCTGTGAAGACAAATTTTGTCTCTTCCACTTACCTGAAGCTTGCACTTCCATGATGTACTGGTGCAAATCTTGCCCTTGCTGAATGACCTCAACAGGTCATATTGTTCATAGCCATCTTCCTCTCTGTATGCCGCTGCAGCCGTTGTTCAGCCAAAGTGAGATCCTCGGTATTGAAATCATTCATTTGACGCAGTAAATCCTCATTCCAGGCATCTAATTCAGCGGTCACCTTCAAAGTATAAAAAAGAAGAAGCAATGCAGAATAAGTATGCAAAAATCATTAAAATTAAGGTTACCAGAGGGAAAATATATAAAATAGAATATGTAACCACAGAAGAGAATAAACCTAATTACACTATTCCACAAATTTTAAAATTGCTATCGCATAAGCTACAGCGAAATTGAGAAGCACTTTAATTATGTGCTGTTTACAAAGAGGTTCATTACTGTAAAAACTTAGAAAATAATTTTAGACTGAAAATTATGAATGCTTAAAGGAAATCTTCAAATTAGAGATCGTTAGACATGCCCAAATTAGAACAAATTAACTACCCGTGAGATTGCTTAAGCTTCCTTAAGCTTATTGTTTGTTTTTTTCAAAAGCATTTGATTTTGAAATGAAATGAAAAATGAGCTGCCTTTTCAAGCATGCCAGTGCTTTTGAAATTATTTCTTTAAAATATTTTTTACCCCTGTTTTAAATCTAAAAATCCCTACAGCGCTTAGATCATTATAAAAAAAACATATAATCAATTATGCAATAAGAATAACAGTGTCACAGAAGCAACAAAACCATCAATAGCTATCTCATGCCTACAACTGACATTGGGTGAATCAACGCTTGGTAGGTTAATCTTTCTACTAAGCCATTGTTACTGCACCTTACCAAAGTTTGTTGAATAGCTGTAGTTTAATGGGTTCATATTATACAGAACCGCAAGCCATAGAGGTAATCCTCGACTTACAACCACAACTGAGCCCAAAATTTCTGTTGCTAAGTGAGATATGTGTTTAGTGAATTTTTCCTCTTTTTACGACCATGCTTGCCACAATTGTTAAGTGAATCACTGCAGTTAGGTTAGTAACCTGGTTGTTAAATTAATTCCCCATTGACTTTGCTTATCAGAAGGTTACAAAAGCTGATCACATGACCCCAGGACCCTGCAACCATTCTTAAATATGAGCCAGTTCCTAAGCCTCCGAATTTTGATCACATGACCATGGGGATGTTGCAATGGTTTAAGTGTGAAAAATGATCATAAGTCACTTTTATCAGTGTAATTTTGAACCGTCACTAAACAAATGATTGTAAGTCAAGGACTACCTGTGCTTTACAAAGCACAATAGCTAAATTCACAGCAACCCAATCTTGCATCTCTCCACTTAAAAGTTAAATTCAACAGAATTCAATATTTTTCTACCTGATATAGAAGATCAACTATCATACTTCATGCCAGAATGCTTATTCATATTAATTTGGCCTCAATAAATACTTTGTAGAAGCAAATTGGAGGGTAACAGCCCTTTTCCACTGCAGTTCCCTAGCAGCTGGCATTCAGAACACGATGTCTTTGATTCTGGAGTTGAGTACGTTCTCAGCAGACCTAGTGCTACAGGATGATAAATTTGGAGCTAATGACCTAATGGTGATAGAAAGGCTTCCTTTAATGGTTATGTGAATTTTTGGAATTGTGAAGCTTTCCTCAAACATTATTCCATCAGTATTCCAAGCTTTCTAGCTACCATATGTTCCAGCAAAATACAAAATTAAGCAAAATGAAAACTATTTGTCTTGTAATAAAAAAAGATGCCAAACATGCACATTCATCTTTTAGACTTACAGAAATCATGATTCCAAGGATTAAAATATTTGTATTTCAGAACACGTTAATCAACATATTTCCTTTGGAATAAACTTCAACCTATCAGTCATTTTCCCCACTATGAAAGATCACAGCAGAGAAGACCTGGGCTATGGAGCTCTAAACTTCTGCCCAAATTCTAATCCTAAGCATATTGCAGTGAGTTGAAAACTGACCCATTTTGTATGCAGATTATTGTATGCATTTATATTTTATTTGGCACTAACAGAATTTGCCTAGTTAATATTTTCTATCCAGCATTCTGGAAACTCATATGAATCACCATTCTGCAATCATCTATCCTTACCGATACAAATTGTGCCATTATTTCTGCCAGAAAAAGATCCTATGCCTACTTTCTATAGAGGCATATTCCATTAATATCTTAAGCGTGCTGTAGAATGTAGGGATTTTTGTTTAATTATTAGATAGATAGAAAGACATCTGAAAATATTACCCATCTATTGATCCCTAAGAACTCATTTTATCAAATAAGACCTGTTCCCATTCCACAGGAGTCTCTTCCATTTTGGAATGGCCAATACAAAAAAAAAATTGGAACTTTGATTTTATATATGGTGATGGCAGCAAAATTGCTCTACGCACAAAAGTGGAAGGATGCCTCGATTCCCACCATGGGCGAATGGTTACAAAAGCTGATGGAATTAGCAGAGATGGCCAAATTGACTGTGCTGATAAAAGAAAAGAACATAAGTACTTTTGTTTATACTTGGAAACCGCTCCTGGGCTTTGTACTTGAGGTGGGGGAAAAAAGATATCATGATTTTTTACCAGTTAGATTGATTTGCCAATACAGAAATGGCTAGCACATACTACTATAGAAATGTAAAAAAAGTTGAGATTTGATTTTAATGTCTGATTTTACTGCAACAGAAAGAGTCAGAAGTCAATGCCTTTTATCTCTCCCCCCTCCCTTTCTTCACACCTTTTTTGTTTTTCCTTTTTTCTCCTGTTGTCCCCTACTATTTGCTTTTGTATTTTCACATTTTATGTTATAAATGAAAAAAAAAACCTAAATTAAAAAAAAGTGAAATATGGCCAATACAATTCTTACCTCAATAGTGTACTGTTCAAAAATCCGGAGCTGAAGAAAAATATCCAGCTTAATTTTCCTTTCATGGAAGAGCTCCTCCATCTGTACCTGAGCTTCATCAAGCTGTTGGAGGACAGACTCAATGTGGCTGATGGAACTATTATGTGGTGTTTTATTGTTAGAGACCGCCGAATCTCTGTGGTAAAGTCAAAACAAATGGTTAGGAACCCAACATTGATAAAGATACTGAGAAAAGACAAAATATTTTCTATTTTATAAATCTTTCATCAGCCTAATATCCGAACTCCCTCAATATTATACACTGAGCTGAATACCATATATCTCTTCACATCTCAAGGCATTTTTGTCCTTTTCTGCATTAATTAAGAATTGCAAAGAAAAAGAAGAAAAAGATAACAAATGGCATACAAATCCCTTCAGGGTCTCTGTCTCCTTTTCATAATAATAGTAACAACAACAACAACAACAACAACAATAATAATAATAATAATAATAATAATAAAAGTTGGAAGGGTCCTTGGAGGTCATCAAGTCCAACCCCCTGCTCAGGCAGGAAACCCTACACCATTTCGGACAAATGGCTGTCCAGTCTCTTCTTAAAAACTTCCAGTGTTGGAGCATTCACTGCTTCTAGAGGCAGGTTGTTCCACTGGTTAATTCTTCTAACTGTCAAGAAATTTCTCCTTAGTTCTAGGTTGCTTCTCTCCTTTCTTAGTTTCCATCTGTTGCTTCTTGTCCTGCCTTCAGGTGCTTTGGAGAATAGCTTGACTCCCTCCTCTTTGTGGCAACTCCTGACGTATTGGAATACTGCTATCATGTCCCCCCTTGTCCTTCTCTTTGTTAAACTAGATATACCCAATTCCAGCAACCGTTCCTTATATGTTTTAGCCTCCAGTCCCCTAATCATCTTTGTTGCTCTTTGTACTCTTTTTCTAGAGTCTCAACATTTTTTTTACATCGTGGTGACCAAAACTGGATGCAGTATTCCAAGTGTGGCCTTACCAAGGCATTGTAAAGTGGTATTAATACTTCACGTGATCTTCATTCTATCCCTCTGTTAATGCAGCCTAGCACTGTGTTGGCCTTTTTGGCAGCTGCAGCACACTGCTGGCTCATATTTAAATGATTGTCTACTAGGACTCCAAGGTCCCTCTCACAGTTACTACTGTTGAGCAAGGTACCCTCTATACTATACCTGTACATTTGTTTTTTTCTTGCCTTATTTCACGATATTCCAGTTTCCTACCAATATTTGGTCTACTTGAAAATTCTTCCCTTTAAGCAAAATACTTACACTGTGTGAAACAGTAATAGAATTCATGCAAAAAATTATGTAACATATATTTCTATTAACTATATGTTATTAGGGCAAAGTGGGATTTCTTGATCCATGGTCAAGTAATGTTTTTTTATTTAAAGCCAGTAAAAATAATCAGTTTATGCAAGCTTTTAAGATTTATTCATTAGTGAAAATTTTGCAAAAAAAAAAAAAAAAAAAAACAATGGGTGAAAACTGGAGAAACCCTAAATGTTATCTTCAGTGAGGCATCAATTTGAGTCTGCATCCCTTTCCTGCCCCAGATTACTTTTCTTTCTCTGTAAACCTAGTAAGTTCAACACTCCCATGTCTTTACTCTAATGTTATGTACAATAAAAATGACCTTAAAGGAGGAGAGAAAGAGATGCTGCCTAAAATCAGACAAGAGAGAGGGGAGCCCCCAATAGCTTAACAATCAGAGGAAGAAACTTAGGAAGGACCCATCCAAACTTATGAGGTAGTTAAAAATGATGGTGGGAGATTTGTACCTACATACTTACAAGATTGTAGTAAAGTACTACAATCTCATCTAGTCATGTGTCCTGCCTGTTTTACCTGAAAGGGCTGACATTAGCTGACCTCTACCTTCCTCTCACCTGTTTGTCTTGGTACCAATTTATGTGCTTTTGAGCCAGTGTTGACCCCTGGCAACTGTCTGGACAGGTCCCTGAGGTTTTTGGGTAAGATTTTGGAAGTAGTTTGCCACTGCCTTCTTTCTAGGACTGATGGGGGGGGGGCTGGTACAAAGTCAGCTGACTTTACATCAGAGACCCCCAACCTTTTGGGCACCAGGGATCAGTTCCATGGAGAGAGGCTTTTCCACAGACTGGAGGGGGCCTGGTTTCATGTGCTGCCTGCATCCCGTGGATTGGGCTTCACTTATTTGCGCATCCTGAAATATGGAATATGCTGTTCTTGAGGAAGTACAGTTCAGAACAAAAAAAATACCCAATCTGTGACCGGGGGCCAAAGTGATGAACAAGGATTTCATTATCTACTCATCCCATTATGTGGGAGATTTAGATTCTTTGACAGGAATAAAGAATAAAGACTAGGAAAAAGCAATCACAAATATGTGTTGAAAAAAAGGCAAAGCAAGTTTTTACTATACTTTAGGAGGAAAAAGTTATTCCAACACATTAAAATGCTATTAAAATTTATAGCAGTCATTCCAAGTAGCAGTTATCTTCAGATTATCTGGCCATCACGGGTGATGGGTAATCTCTCAACAGATTTCAAGCCTTTGATCTTTGAGAGTAATCCCCAAATTTTAGAAATTTATCTAGGAGCATAATAAAGATAATGGTATTATTTAACACAGTTGAAATAGGGTGACCTGAATGCATCAGATGTCTCTTCCTCTGCAAGTAATGCATTTGGTCTTAAATAATATGGTAGGAGCTCCTGAGAAACAAGTCAACTGCTAGGTACACAGCTCCAATCTCATCTTATTTTGACATAACATCAAGTCTTAGGGTACAACGAGTTATGTTGAGATTTATTAATTGAAAAATGGACAAGCCTAATCTTGATTATAGGATGCTTATGCTCTAATTTCCAAAATTCTCTCAAAGCAATTAATATATACCTCTGCTCTAAAAGCATGTTGAGTGTGAAAGAGATACAGGTCTGATCCAGGAAAAAAAAGAAAGAAAGAAAAAAGAGGATTGCCTCACTTTCCTCTAGTTCAAATACTCCTTCCCCTGAATTCTGCTTTGCCAACTATCAGCATGTACCCTTGGGCAGATTATACCTGAATGTACAATTTACTAATAAAAAACAAAACAAAACAAAAACGTGGCCGTCATGAAACCATAGGAAATCAAATGAAACCAAATTGGGGAGTGGGGGGGGGGGGAAGAGATTCAAATCGGGGTATGATCTGGAGAGTTTAACCCTTTGCTATGTTCTGCTTTCTCACTGAGAATTGCCAGTATTGTGGGAGAGAAATCAGAGTTTTGTCCAACTTTTCAATAACACAATAATTCTACCTCTGTATATTCTACTTCACTTCTACTGTAGTGCAACGGGACCAAAATGTAATAAAGTTTAAAGCTGTATACAAATATTTTTTAAAAAAACAAAACCAGAATTTTCTTTATAAAAGCGAATATGATTCATCTGAATAGATCCTTCTACCAGACTGACAAAAAGGGTAATCACCTTCTTGAAAAAGAAATAAATTGTTTCCAGAGCATTTCTAATTAAATGCTATTAAGCCTAGCTGAACAAAGCCTCTACAGGTAGTCCTTGACTTAACGATCATTCGTTTAGCATCCCATCAAAGTTACAATGACATGGGAGAAAGGTGACCTGCGATTGGTCCCCACACTTACAACCATTACAGCATCGCCTCGATCATGTGCTCAAAATTTGGCTGCTTAACAAAAAAGCACGCATTTACAGTAGCTGCTGCCTACTGGGGTTGCTGTGATCGCCATTTGCAACCTTCCCAGATGGCTTCCGACAAGCAAAGCCAATGGAGGAAAGCTAGATTTGTTTAAGAACGGTGTGAATCACTGAATTGCAGCAAAAAAAGTTATAAAATCAGGCACAATTCACTTAAATCACCTCGCTTAGCAACAGAAACTCTGTTATGGTCATAAGCCAAGGACTACCTGTGTAGAGAGTCACAAGCCTTGGGACGTCATTATGTGAATTAGGCTGTAGGTATTTGAGGAAACCTATATATTCCATGCAGTCAGTTTTAAGGCACACACTGTAAATTGCACTTGCACAAACCCAGTACAATTGGAGCGGCAGGTATCAGTTGAAAGCTTTGCTTTATTGTGCCGCAGGGATCTTGCTAAACTGAAAGCTCTTACAGGTGAAAAAAAAATAGTAATGATATATTAAAGGCATATGTTTTATTTAGTGGATTCCAGACACTGCTTAGCAGGAATAAGTATTTAAACCACAAGGCCTCCATTTATAACAATTTAATAATCTTCCCCAAATATCCACTTTAAACATATTCAGGCAGTACCATTTAATCATAGTCACTTTAGTACACCTGCAGCTCCCCTCATCCATTACATGCAGTGGTCCAGGTGAACTGAGATTATTTATTATTCATCTCTACAAATTATTCTTTATAGCTTCAGTGAAATGATGCATTTAAAAATTACTTAATGATTACAGGTACTTCTGTGCCCCTTCTGCCAGGCGGATCTAGGCAGCTTCCCAGCAATAATAAAACAGGTGAGCGATGTCAAAATAAATAGCAATACGGTTCTAAAATATACTTAAGTGGGAAGCACTAATTTCCGAGTGGAATTCTAAGGTGTGTCCCGTTGTGCCCAAGGAGCTCACCTGAGCTGCTGGATTAGATCTTCCCCTTCTTTGATGACATTGAGAGTGGCATCCAGAGTAGCTGTTTGCTGCTGCTGGAACTGCTTTATGAGTTCCTGAACGGCATCTACGGAGTCAGCACAGACGTCTTCCAAGAGCTCCTTCTGCAGGTCTTCCATCCATGTCCACAGCTAGGAAAGAGGGAAATAAAAAAAAAGCAAAAGATATGAGAAGAGGCAAAGGGAAGGGGGGGGGGAAAGGGTGATCTTAACTGTTTCAAATCAGCTCAAAGAGTATCCATCAGGCTCTCACAAAGCACAGCATTATCTGACACTAAAGCACTTAAGCCAGTGGTTCTCAACCTTTTCTTCACCATGGATACCTTTTGTGGCCACAGACCATCAAGACTTAACTCAAGATTTAAATCATAACATTTTTTTTGTGGACTCCCAGTGATGACATCAGCCCCCACCCTGGGGTCCATGGACCACAGGTTGAGAACCACTGACTTAAACAAATGTAACATTAAATAAAAGATTGCCTTGAGATAACTATATAGTATAACTGCATATATAATGATTGTCTTTTTTCATTCTTTTCTTTTCAATTAAAGAGAAAGAATACAGGAGATAAATGAAAGAGGCAGTTCTATAATTACCAAAGATAATAGAAATGCTAACACAAGGATGGGTATGGGTCATTTGGATAATCTTTTGCCATTTGGATCATTTTTTTGGACAATGATTGATTATGCAGATAATTTCCCAAGGACAAACAAACACACACACACACACACACACACACACACACACACACACACACACATTTTTTGTAGGAAGAGTTGACAGGGGAGGAGATGGAGGAACCTGGAGCAACCTCTGAAGCAACTCCAACCTCTCATCCGCAGCCTCTGAGCTTGTGCAGTGTCATTGCTGCCAAGAGGAGGAAAATTAGGCTAAACAGACAAGAATCACCAGGGGCAAAACTGGATAAGATGCAGCTTCCTTGGAACTTGAACCAGAATGGGAGACAGCAAAGCCTGGGAGAAGCCAGCTGCTGAGAGCTTTATAAGGTGGTCTCAGTGGCTGAGATAGTTGCTGGAGACCATGTTCGTTCACCCTGACTTGTTCTTCCATATTAGTAACCTGTAATCACTGATGGTTTTCTTGGCTGTATCAACTTTCACTTATTCCACAAGGGTTCTTCTAGCCTCTTGATCTCTCTTTTATCTGTTATTTCTCATGTTGAGACTGATTTGAAGAATTCTTTGGCTCCTGTAGGATCTCTGTAGGACTCCTTTTCTGATTCTGTAGGATTGCTTTTCTGAAGTCCTACAGGCTTGTTCAGAAAATTTCTCAGTATAGAGCAGCAAACTCAAAATAAAATCACTTTTGGAGATCATCCCTATCCCAATAAATCTGTGCATTGACATACATGCACATGGGCATGCATAAATACGTCTGATCAGAGTATCTTGACAGGCACTTGCATAATATTTATTTATTTTATTTATTAAGCAAATTTATATAGCCGCCCAATCACACATAGGTGTTTTCGGGTAGCTTACAATATTTGCAAAATAGACAATGGCTTCCAATCAAAACTCAGTAACAGAATTTCGGTTTATTCATAATCTTTCAGATCTAATATATTGCGTATGACCTATTTTCATCTACTAGTCTCCCAATTAAAATAATAATAATAATAATAATAATAATAATAATAATAATAATAATAATAATAAAAAAGTTGGAAGGGACCTTGGAGATCATCTAGTCCAACCCCTGCTCAGGCAGGAAACCCTATACCATTTCAGACAAATGGCTGTCCAGTCTCTTCTTAAAAACTTCCAATGTTGGAGCATTCACAATTTCTGGAGGCAAGTTGTTCCACTGATTAATTGTTCTGTCAGGAAGTTTCTCCTTATTTCTAGGTTGCTTCTCTCCTTGATTAGTTTCCATCCGTTGCTTCTTGTCCTGCCTTCAGGTGCTTTGGAGAATAGCTTGACTCCCTCTTCTTTCTGGCAGCCCCTGAGATATTGGAACACTGCTATCATGTCACCCCTCGTCCTTCTCTTCATTAAACTAGACATACCCAATTCCAGCAATTGTTCCTCATATGTTTTAGCCTCCAGTCCCCTGATCATCTTTGTTGCTCTTCTCTGTATTCTTTTTCTAGAGTCTCAACATCTTTTTTTAAATTGTGGTGACCAAAACTGGATGCAGTATTCCAAGTGTGGCCTTACCAAGGCATTGTAAAGTAGTATTAATACTTCATGTGATCTTGATTCTATCCCTCTGTTAATGCAGCGTAGCACTGTGTTGGAATATTCATGAGCAGGAAGAGGCATGTGGTAACTCAGTCAGCCAATGTGAAGAAAGTGCTACTGAGTCTGTGCAAAAGAGTATTGAGTTAGGAGCTGGATTTCCAGTCTCGGGTCTGTCTCTGTATCTCTCTGTAAGAAGTCTTCAATTGAGCTATGTTGCTGTAAAGAAGAATGTATGGTATTGTAAATATTTTTATATGAATATAAAGAAGTTACTTTGAATCAGCTAAATGCAGTCAACTGTGAGAGCTTCTGATTTATTTTTTCACCAATAGAGGAATTAAAATTCTCTAACAGGTTATGGGCCCAGAGCTCACTAAGGACTGCATTGTAATTTAAAGCTGGAAGAAATTGCCTGTGTTTAGAAAATATAAGAACAAGGCAGAATTAGCAGAATGGCTACAATGGAATTTAAAGAAAGCTGTGTGCCTCATTTAGGCCAGAAGAATTACATTGTGTGGGCTGCTAAAATGGAATGTTTGCTGAAAGCTAAAGAGCTGTGGTATATTGTAGAAAATCCACCACAAGTATTTGCAGCTGCTGATCAGAAGAGTCATGCTCAAGCAATGGCTTATCTCATCTTCAATTTAGATGATGAACAATTTCTAAATGTTGCAAATTTAAAGACTGCAAAGGAGATTTGGTTGAAGTTGAGAGCTGTGCACGTGAATGTTTCTGCATGCAATATAGTGCAATTGTCAAGAAAACTTTACAGGGCCTGTTTGTAACCAGGTGAATCTGTGGAACAGCATTTAAATAAAATGCAAAGTTTATTTTTGGACTTAGAACAACGTGGAATTAAATTCCCTGAGTCCCAGGAGGTTTTATTGGCATTGAACAGTTTAGATAAAACCTGGGACACAGTTTCTGTCATATTTGAGTGTAAAGAAGAGCAAGACTTAAATTTTGAGGCTTTAAAGGCATGTTTGCTTAATGAAGAAGAAAAGCGCCATTTTAGAAGCAGTCACAGGAGGTGAAATTCCTGAGGAGGGGGTCCAGACTGCAAGTCTCCGAAGAAGAAACATTTTGCAGGCAGAGAGCTAAGCAAGAAAAGAATTGCTACATTTGTGGAGCAAACAACCATCTGAAAAGGAACTGTTTGCAAAGGAACAATTTGCAGCAAAGGACATTTGTGTAACCAAAAAGGACTGATTTGCAAAAGGAACATTTTGGTGTTGCAAACGTTTGCTATAGCAACAACAGAGACAAGTGGCTAATAGATAGTGGGGCAAATCAAACAATTGTTAATGACTCTGAATTATTTTGCAGGTTTATTCCAGTAGCACAAGAAGCTATGGCTTTGGCAAATGGCCAGAAAGCAAAAGTCATCGGAAAAGGCGATGTAAAAATTCCATATTTGGAATCAAAGTTTACCAATGTGCTTTGTGTACCTGAGATGGAACATAATTTGTTAAGTGTGTCTAATTCAGACAAACAAGGTTTTGAGATCATTTTTGTAAATGGGAAGTCTCTCATCAAAAGGAATGGGAATATTTGTGCAGAAGGCATAAAGGAAGATAATCTATATGTATTGCAGGGACAAAAGGTTCAATGTTCCCATATATTTAAGAATGTTGCAGAGCATGATTCATGTGTTCATCTTCTACATAGAAGACTTGGCCATGCAAGCTTTAAAGTTTTCCAGCAAATGCAAGATTTTGCAGAAGGGCTAAATTTGAAGGGATGCAAAACATATTTGGACTGTGCAGTATGCAAAGCATCGAAGTCAAAGGCATTCCCAGTTAGTAAATGTAGCACAAGACAAACAAAAAGAGTTCTAGAGCTGGTCCATGCAGATCTGGTGGGACCTATGCAAGCCAGTATTGAGTTAGGAGCCAGATTTCCAGTCTCAGGTCTGTCTCTGTATCTCTCTGTAAGAAATCTTCAATTGAGTTATGTTGCTGTAAAGAAGAATGTATGGTATTGTAAATATTTTATATGAATATAAAGAAGTTATTTTGAATCAGCTAAATGCAGTCAACTGTGAGAGCTTCTGATTTATTTTTTCACCAATAGAGAAATTAAAATTCTCTAACACACTGTGTTGTTTTTTTTGGCAGCTGCAGTACACTGCTGGCTCATAGTTAAGTGATTATCCACTAGGACTCCAAGATCCCTCTCACAGTTACCACTATTGAGCAAGGCACCACCTATACTGTACCTGTGCATTTGTTTTTTCTTGCCTAAATGTAGAACCTTACTTGTTTCACCATTGAATTTCATTTTGTTAGATAGCGCCCAATATTCAAGTCTGTCAAGATCCTCCTGTATCTTAACCTAATTTCTGGAATGTTGGCTATTCCTGTCAGCTTGGTGTCTGCAAATTTGATGAGTTCCCCATCTATCCCTGATGAGTTCCCTTCATCTATCATTGATGAAGATGTTGAAGAGCACTGGGCCTAGAACAGAACCCTGGGGCACTATGCACTTCCCTCCATGTAGATGCAGTTCCATTGAGGACCACACGCTGAGTACAGCTGGTCAGCCAGCTACAAATCCATATTGCTTGGTTTAACTTTGAATAATAACATACGTAGTGTATTTTGCTTAAGTGATTTTCTAGCTCTCACTTTCTTTTAAGATCAACACTAACGACAAGGAGAAGAAGGAGTCCTTCACTCTACTTTCTAGCCAATCTTTCTGAGAAATGAAAGGTGCAGAGGAGCTGAAACAGTCTGCAAGCACTATTTCTTGCCATTTTTAGAAGCTCTTTTATTTCCCCAAATAGGAACATTACAGAATTAAGATGTTGAAATGCTGAATATGGTAGAGTGAAGAGGGTCATGTCGAGAAGGACCTGGTTCATTTTGTTAGAAGAATTCAAATAGAGGAAATCAGGTGTCTGAGATACTTTACTTTAGATTTCTGAATTGAGCAGGTGCTTGGTCTTGATGGTGTAAATTATCTTATCCGATACTATGAGTCTAAATTTAGCTTTACAATCTAGACAGTTCAGCCTGGCAGGTCAGATCAGACCTGTACATTGGAGTTTTCATATCCCAGTTTTAAAGAGACGTGATGATACATGACACCTGACTGTGACAAATATTGCAGAATCCGAGAGTCTGTGATCCATTTTCCCAAGCTAAATCCAATACACTCATAGAGGTATCTATGGAGGTGTACAAGCCTTTTGGTGAAGGAGATAACTCTTTCAGACAAAGTATATCAGATTGTCTCTGATTTTCAGACTGCACCAATGTCTGTCTCTATTGGTGTAAACCTGAATGCAAGATCATATGCCGATTTGCTTAAGTGAGAAAACTGTGTTGTAGTGGAGCAGATTAAAGAAAAAACTCAGCTGTATACAAAAGTATGCAACAAAACAAAAATGGCAGATGACTGTGAATGGCAGGGTGTCTGCTTGCAGCTCTTTAGGCCCAAATGCCATATTGGAGTCCGTTGTGAAATGATTGTTTACTAATTGTCTTTATAAAATAAGTGTTAAGAAAAATATTAAACAGTTTCTTCCTTTTGAATTTATGAAGCAACTTTCTGTAGCTTTACGAAATGCAGTTGCATATAATCCATTTATACATTAGCTGCCCCAAATTAAATACTGGCAACATTACCAATTAAGACTATTTGGGAATCACTACTGAAATTAATGTAATAAATGTCTGATATGTTATGGCAACCACACCAATATAACTTTGCATTATGGAGGAGTACTCTGCTATTGAACTATCTGAATAGATGAATATGACTTCAGCTATGCTTTGGTACTGAAGTCCAGTGCCCTTGAGAAAGTTAAATGCTGACGTGCATTTGGCCTGACATTTTCAACAATGATGTTGAATATCAATATGTTCCAGATTGATCCATTAATTCTAAGCAGTCAGGATATCAGGTTAGCAATAATTTGCCATTTTTAAGAAAAACTTAAGGGTACCCAGGAAAGTGCTCACTCCTTTAAAGAGCAATAATAAAAATGGTCAACTTATAATTCCTCAACCTATATAAAATCTTTCTATGACTTATAGCTTTAAGAAAACATTAATTCCTGGCTATTATTTCTTCTATTATCTCTTTGTGCATTCATCAAGAAAAAAAGTTCCTAAAAAGCCCAGGTATTTAAGGGAGTTATACTTTCCATCAATGAACAAAGATCCAAGTAAACAATCATAATACATTTACATTTTATGCACCTCATATTAAATAATGTCATGAGAAAGTCAGATACTGTGAAACTGTGACTTTTTAAAGAATGCCTGGCAAGATGCCCTTTTAATAGGCTGTCATAAATCTAGAGAAAATTAAGAGCAGGAACTGCTATATAAATTCTATGGTAAGAGATTTTTTTTTTCAATTCTGAACAGTGATAATTGATAGCTGAATTTGAGGCTGTTAAGAGATGCAGGGTTCTGCTCAAAATAAGTCTTATTAAGCTATCTGGAAGAACTATAAAGTTTCCACCATTTCCTCTGCCTAGGAACATTCCTCAGACTTTTAGTAAAGGAATGCAGCCAGTCCAGCATGTACATGTTTTCTTTCTGTTCCATCTTATCAATAGTCAAACATGCCACAGGACTCTTTATGTGACTTCTGCTGACTTCTGCTGTCTGCAAAGTTAACCTAAAAAAAATCATTCAAAGTCAGTCTTTGAAAACTTTTGATGTTTTCCTGTTTCTTTTCTGACAAAATAAAAATTCATTTGAACTAATTAGCTTCTCTATTATCACTGAACTGTTATATATTATCAACAATGTTGAGGAGCAACAAAGATGATTAGGGGACTGGAGACTAAAACATATGAGGAACGGTTGCTGGAATTGGGTATGTCTACTTAATGAAGAGAAGGATGAGGGAGGACATGATAGCAGTGTTCCAATATCTCAGGGGTGGCCACAAAGAAGAAGGAGTCAAGCTATTCTCCAAAGCACCTGAAGGCAGGACAAGAAGCAACGGATGGAAACTAATCAAGGAGAGAAGCAACCTAGAACTAAGGAGAAACTTCCTGATAGTTAGAACAATTAATCAGTGGAACAACCTGCCTCCAGAAGCTTTGAATGCTCCAACACTGGAAGTTTTTAAGAAGAGACTGGACAACCATTTGTCTGAAATGGTATAGGGCTTCCTGCCTGAGCAGGGGGTTGGACTAGAAGACCTCCAAGGTCCCTTCCAATTCTGTCATTCTGAACTATTTATTCAGACTATTAGAAGGAAAATAATGCCACAGAGCACAATTCAATATAAAGACAGTTGTAGTGTAGGTTTTCCATCCATCCATCCATCCATCCATCCATCCATCCATCCATCCATCCATCCATATCCTACTTTCATTATTTTTACAAATAATTCAAGGGGCAAACATATCCAACAAACATTCCTCTTCCTATTTTCCCCATAACAACAACAACCCTGTGAGATGGGCTGGGCTGAGAAAGATGACTGGCCTAAGGTTACCCCACTGGTTTTCCTGCATAAGGTGGGACATGAACCAATGGTCTCTTGCTTTCTGGCCTGGTGCTTTAACCACTAGACTGAGCTGGATCTCCATTTGTAATAATAAAGTAATAATGGGTCTTGGTTATAGGAGCATGCACCTGAAACTTGCAATTAAGCAATCTGTGTGTTTGACAAATCATGATCTGCCATAATATGGTTGGGTCAGCTTGGGTTAAGCACAATGCATAAAGCCAACCAATTGTGACATTCAACAAACCATGGTTGAAAAGTATAACTAAATAGTGGTGGTTAGTTAGTTAGGCACCAAGCTTGAAACCAGGAAACTGAGTTCTAGTCCCTCCTTGGGAATAAATGCCAGTTAGATGACCTTGGGTCAATCGCTCTCTCTCAGCCCAACTCACCTCCCAGGGCTGTTGTTGTGAGGAAAATAGGAGGAAGAAAGAGTATTAGATATGTTTGAGTTGTTTATAAAAATAATAAAGGCAGAATATAAAATAAGTAAATAAATAAATGTGATGTCTGAAGCCAGTCCATATCAATGTGATACATGAATCATGAAAGAAATCTACCTTCTGTCCACAATTAAAAGCTGTTTATCACTTGCCTCCCACCACACGATGTGTCACAGAATAGAATAGAATAGAATAGAATAGAATAGAATAGAATAGAATAGAATAGAATAGAATAGAATAGAATAGAATAAGAGAGTTGGAAGGGACCTTGGAGGTCTTCTAGTCCAACCCCCTTCTTAGGCAGGAAATCCTATACCATTTCGGACAAATGGTTGTCCAATCTCTTCTTAAAAACTTCCAGTGTTGGAGCATTCACAGCATCTGGAGGCAGGTTGTTCCACTGATTAATTGTTCTAACTGTCAGGAAATTTCTTCTTAGTTCTAGGTTGCTTCTTTCCTTGATTAGTTTCCATCCATTGCTTCTTGTCCTGCCTTCAGGTGCTTTGAAAAATAGCTTGACTCCCTCTTCTTTGTGGCAACCCCTGATAAGGTCCAGTTCCAGCACATACCCTCAGTTACAATACTTATCCCCTTAAAGGTGTTTATTTCTTGGTATGTACTTGCTATATCAATTATTATATTACATTATTTTCAGGTTTGACAGGGAATAATATATGCAATTTATAATCCCCAAATTTCTTCTGGGTGATTTTATTGCTTTACTTATTGATATTTACCTCAATGTTATGTTATCATTTTAAAGCTTATACTTCTGTGATAATGGAACTTAATTCTTTCTCTTTTATTGCACATGAGTGCTGGAACAAATAGCATCCTCTGTTTATGTTGTTGTTTTTTAGTCAAAATTCTTTATATGCATTTAACCTCACTATTCTGATATTGTCAGTTCAACTTTGGATATTAACATATTTATTTCCCACTTGCAGGTTAATGACTGCAATAAAATTGTTTATAATTTTTACACATTATTTGTTTATAGTACCCAATCCTGTTTTCACAGTTACTTGAAGGCCTTTGGTTTGAAAATGGAAAAATGTAGAGTATGCTTTAGTTATACCCTCAGGCTCTTAGTTTCAATGTCCTCTAAGTCTGCTGAAAAAGTGTCCTATTTTTATACATTTTGAACATTGTTCACTTGTATTAAAACAGCATTTAGTCTAGTCCTAAGGAAGCCACAGAAAATTGAAAGGGACATATCTGCAGAACCTACTTTGGATAGAATGGAATCAAAGTTAGCTCCTTTAGCCGATACTTGTTAGAAACAGTGGCAAAGCAGAGAGATGCTTCATTAAAATTCAACTGCCTAAGAAATTTAAGAAACAATAATGACATTGTCTTTTAAAGAACTCAAACCATAAAGCAGATCTTTTTTCTCCATGCGGATGAGCTTCCACGTAGCCTGGTCCATTATATTCAAAAAAGAAAAGTTTATCAATTCCTCTTGCAGACATTTATGCTTCTTCAGAGAATTCTCCAGATCAGTGAAGGACATGAAATGATGGATGTAAAGAGAGGGAGGAAACTGAATATATTTTTAATGAAAAAACATTCTGAGAAGAAACCTACTTGTTGATATTCCAGTTACACAATACAGATGAAGGGTCTACTCCATTGCATATAAACTTCACACGAACACTAAATATTAGTAATCAGTAATCAGTGTTAACATGCACACTGCTATTTTATTATGGAAGTTCAGCTAGACAGAGAACATTTCTACTGATTCTACTTTCTTTTATAGTTATGCTGCAACTCCAATAGGGAGACTTGTAACAATTATATAATTTGGCAGGTTTTCTAAGCTTTAATTTTATATAATCTAAGTTTATTCTGATATGCCTTGAGCAATATGGACATTTTTTGCTATGTTCCATACGTGAAATATACAGTATCCAACAGTATCTGAATTTCTGTTACATTTCAGGCATCTTACCTCTTTGGTATGAGTATGGAAGGAGACAGACATATCCAAAAGAAGTTTCCTCTGTTCCACTCTCCTAACGAAGTCCTGAATCCGGACTTCTAGATGCCGTGCTGCTTTGTAAATCTCTTCAGGATCACATTCCCCAGTCTGGGCCAGTTGCTCTGCTGCTTCCAGTAGCTTGTCTGCATTAGTATAGGTATTCTACCAATACACAACAAAAATAAACCCCAAATCACAAAACTCTACTCATTAATCCTCAGAGAAAATACTTCCAGAATTCAGGAAGAGAAATCAGCATTTTAACATGACAGCAATTGTGATGTGATTGGAAAAGGAGTTAGCAAAAATTCACACTGAATAAATCTTCAGATAAATATTGAAAACAATTCTTATTTGAAATGAGCACACTTTTCTACTGCTTGCTTTTTTTGTGAGCTTCAGGAAACTCAGCCTACAGTGATCTCCGGGATCTTCCAAAGACCATCTAAACAAGCAACTCAGATTTAACTACTTCATTGGTGGCCGTGGTCTCCTGGGAGATATTTCACAACACATTTGGTTGGGAACGAGTGCTGATGGCTAACAGGTTGCAACATGTAAAGTACATGCACTGGAAAATTATCTCAGGAAAACATGTTGCTTTTTTATTGCATTTATGAACCGGCTAAAGAAGAACACCATCCGAAAGATTCTAACTCCATCCAGGGTAGTTACAACTATCTTTAAGTATTTATAGAATTTCCATTTCATCTCTTAGGCATTCTGACATGTGCAGGGAGCAACCTACACATTCCCAACTGCAGTACAGAAACTGAAAAAGGAAATTCCTTTTGTTTCATGGAGTTATTTTGCATTGCATTACAGAAATTAGGAATTTATACCCTGTATGGACACATAAGTTCATTATAGTCCTTTCCAAAATATTTATACCATTCCTATATTCTACTGTATGTATCTGTTTTTCATAAGGTACTAATAGCCAACAAGAATCCACAAGACTATGATTTTTATTTTTTTAAATGATTGATGGGTTGCAAAGATAATAATTTAATTTAAATGTCAAACTTATATTTAAAATGTTAAAATGTGTTATCATACACTTGAACCCTTTTGTGAAAGAAGTTAAATGTGATACTGTCTATACCAAGACCTAAGAAAAACTTAAGTATTTTTCAAGAAGACTGAACAAGAAAAATATATTGTTTTGCTGCCTAAACAGAATTGTTTCAAATGCTGGATTCAAGCTTCAAGAATTAATTTAGTAAAACCTCTGACAGACTTTGTTGCTATGGAAAATTTTGTCTAAGAAGAAGGAAATATTCCTTGAGAAAACATTTCCACAGAACTTGATCTTCATCTGAATTAAGCTGATAAAAGTGTCCAGAAATAAAGATTTTATATATAATAATGTTAAATAGATATAACACACTGATTGTAATATTAATGAAATTATATAAGAGAAGAGTAGGGCAAACCAAATATAATTGCAGTGGTTAACAGAAAAAAATAGTAGTATTAATAGAGATAGTAATAGTAGGAGAAAGATTACGGCCCTTCCATGTTATGTTTGTAAGAATCTTTTAAATCTTTATGTTCATAGTCATTCTAAGATGAGTCTGATAAAAAGATATAACCAACTAATATGTAGTTACGGTTTATATTTTTTATTAATGTATCTCTAAGCTCTTCCAATGTCTTCCTTCTATTCCATTTTAGCTATTGTGGTATGTAGAGTTCAACAGCGCATTTTTGACAAAGTTGCCTTTTTAAAAAATTTTCCAAAATGATCTTTAATCATTTTACAGGCATCACATATTTTGCCATGTCCCACTTCTGAACCGTTGTGCTAAGGAAGCCTTGCCTGCAGGCAACCATCTTCAAGAACCTGATCGATACATTGTTATTGATCTCCTAAACCCAGAGAGCCTGACTATAGGTAGTCCTCGACAACAGTTTGTTTAGTGACTGTTCGAAGTTACAATGGTACTGAAAAAAAATGACTTATGACCATTTTTTACACGTATGACTGTTGCAGCATCCCCATGGTCACGTGATTTACATTTGGATGCTAGGCAACTGGTTCATATTTATGACGGTTGCAGTATCCCAGGATCATGTGATCATCTTTTGCAATTTTCTGACAATCAAAGTCAGTGGGGAAGCCAGATTCACTTAACAACTGTATTACTAATTTAACAACTGCAGTGATTCACTTAATAAATGTGGCAAGAAAATGGGACCTATCTCATTTAACAAACTTCTCACTTAGCAACATAAATTCTGAACTCAATTGTGGTCATAAGTAGAGGACCAACTGTATTATGTATTACCAGGTAAACCTGGGCTATCTCTCTTCCTCCATGTTATAAACAGTCCAACTCACTATTCACCCAAAAGTTGTGCTTAGGTCAATGTGGAAGATCTCACAAAAGATACCTGTTTTGGTTCCTAATTTTCTGTTGTGTTTTGGAACTGCAATGAAGAATGGGGTAAACATTCATTAGAAATGCGAGAACAATTGCCCTTAGTTTCATGTAGCGTAACTTCATCACTGTGCATGATTGTTTCATAAACAAGGGACAACTAACACTGCCCCACTTAATTGTTTTTATTTTCTAACAGGGTCTCATAAAAGATATTTCTTTTTAAATGATACTAAGCAAAAGAAGCAGATGCAAGTAGCTTGTGCAAAAATTAAGAAGGAAAATTATACAACTTCTGCCACAAAGCTCCCATGGACATTTTTAGTACTTTGATGCAGCCTGGAAGACACCAATGAATAATGCTACATATTACTGATCCAACTTCATGATTAGATATATACTGACTATTGTCAGGACACAGGAAAATATATATTTTTAAAAGGAAATTTAAAGCACTCTTTGCTGGAGAATGTTCCACCTCAGCAATAATGCCTCAGTGCACTTCTAAAATTTCTGGACCTGCCAAGTCACTAATTGTAATTTAATCTTCTAATTCACAATAGCAGCTTGTTCAGAAATAAGTACTACTAAATTGATTGCTACCTGCATTCATGGAATTACAGCTAATCAAGTATTCACATTGTGCATTGTTGCCTTTGGTGAGATGTGTGACAATACAAATTTGTTAATTAAATAAATTTCCAATTAGCATGGATTTTGGATGCCGCTGCATAGCAACACCATCCTCCATCTACTGCATAGCTCTTGAGCTCCTAACATTATTGTGTCAATAGCTTTACTTATTGTTAATAATAAAATCTAACATATCCCACTATTTAGCTCTTTGAAAGAATAAACACCAACAAATTTTTCTCCAGTTGTAAAGTTCTATGCCCTTCTTTCCTTTAATCATTTTTATTCCCTTTTTTCCCTTAAAGGAAACAACTGATTCAATGCTGGCCTATCTATTATGGTGTATTAAGCTATCAAGATGTAATTTCATTCTGGAGAGCCCTCATAGCTCCTCAATTACTTGAATGTGGCCAGCCCGCACAGATAAGAATAAATTGAGGACCAATTATAATTTGCCCCTGACAAGCCAGACCCGTGAATGAATTACCAGTCCCTGTAAGGAATATCATCTCGGGATTGGAGACTGCATCCTAGATTTCTGTATATCACCCTATTGTTAAGAGCACCAGAGCAACCACAGCAGAAACTGGCCAAAGCACAAGGTGAATATTAGAAAAGGAGTAGCATGCTAATAGCTGGAGAGCTTCAGTGTTAAATGTGGAATAGCAGAGCAGATAAAAATACAAATGGGTGCACAAAGAAAACCTGGCTATGGAACAGAAAGAGATGATGAGCACAGATGGTTGCAATTTGTGTTACTGAAACTCACTGTACATTTCTAAATCTTGTATTCATTCTGGGCTGCTCTTGGGCCACTTTTCCATGAAATGGATTTTTATTTTACTCAACTTAAATGGTCTATCTGCATATACTCATTTTTATAAAACTTGCTAAAAAACATTTTTTTCTGAAAAGTTCTAACCCTGTCATTGGAGTTCCCATTTCTCTGCTGCTGGTGTTTTTAATTCTTATAATGTTTGTTATTGTTTTTGCTCTATTTTAATTCTGTTGGCCGTGAGTCACTCCTTGAGATGGGCAGCTACCTAAATTGGATGGATGGATAGATGGTCGGTTGGTCGATCAGTCGGACGGATGGACAGACAGACAGATAGATAAGATAGATCAGAGGTGAGGAGGCTGCCTTAAGCAGTTGATTATTGGTGTTTGTCATGGAAAGCAGAAAATTCTACCAACTCAGACAAACAAGCTAACAATAAACAATAGCCTAATCAAGGAATCACCAATGCCACTCTCATTAACACTGACAGGGCAAGCCACTAGAATATAAAATGAGAGCAAACCCCAATCCCCTCCAGCACTGATGATACTACAGGTAGTCTTCAAATTATGAACACAATTGAACCCAAAATTTCTGTTGCTATGTGAGACATTCATTAAGTGAATTTTGCCCCATTTTACGACCTTTCTTGCCACAGTTAAGTGAATCACTGCAGTTGCTGAGTTAGTGACAGGGTTATTAAGTGACTCTGGCTTCCTCACTGACTGGCAAAAAGGTGATCACATGACTTAGGGATACTGCAACCGTCATAAATACAAGTCAGTTGCCAAGTGTCTGAATTTTGATCACATGACCATGGGGATGCTGCAACGATCATAAGTGTGAAAAATGGTCATAAGTCACTTTTATCAATGCCCTTGTAACTTTGAATGGTCACTAAATGAGCTGTTGTAAGTCGAGGGATAGTTTGGTAATGAAACGTCTGCGAAACAACAACCAAAGTTCCACTCTTCTACAAATATTCTCTTCTATCAATTCTCATATATCTCTAGTACTGCTGTAAATCCACTGCCTGGGAAGGAGGAAAGTCTTTAGATGATTTTCTGTTTGGAGAGCCAAAACAACAGAATCAGCCTTAACCACTGGATCTGATTCATCCTGAGGTTGAGCAAAGAGCAAGAGAAGCTTATTTTTTATGCTTAATGTGTGAATTTCGTAGAAGTAGACCCAGACTTGCTTTGAAACAGTTTTTTTTTTTTTTTTGCTTTCATCCAGCAAAACAATCCTTATATTCTTAATGACTTCCTCTCTCATACTACTTGTGCATTGGGGAGAGGGGGGACAGGGGTTCTTTTTGCACCAACCTACAAAATAAAAGCAATACATTTAGATCCTGGATTTTTTGG